AACGAAATAAAATTTCTAACACTCCAAATTATTCATCGATTATGTATTCGAAATAAATCGTCAGATAAAAGTCACCTATTCTGCGGATCGCCCGTAAAACAATGAAATCAATATTTAGAACCGTGTATATTTGTTTAACCCCCATTCGTTTCCATAACAGTTTGGATTAAAACGCAATTATAGCGTATGTATTGTTATCGCGTAGTACGCATACATACACGTGTACGTTACACGCGTTTATCATATTTCTCGAGCACAATGTAGGCCTGTACATTTAATAGTAAAACGATTTTTGAATTGCACAGAATTAGTAACTAGTCCATTATATTCTTTTACAATTGTTATGTACAATGTAAATATGTTTGAAATTTCTGATTTATTTTGAATACATATAAGTAAAATATAATACAAAATTTTTTTTATCAAATTATCAGACGTTTTAGCCATTTCGTTAGCTTTATGCCATGTTATAGGTAACTAAATTGTATGAATGTGTTTTTTTTTTTTTTTTATATATAAATTGAAGATCTACTAATAACAATATCCATGATCTACTTATATAATGTATAATTATATATTGTAAGCAGCCTAATTTAAATGAAGTACTGCTGATTGGGTGAATGGAAACAGATTTACAATAGGTACTGAACTTCAGTAAATAAATAAATAAAGTGAAATGTTTCATTGTTTCTATTCAACCAATATTACAGTGAGCGACGGGTATATCCGGATTTTAAATCCGGATAATCCGGATAGTCGGATTTCATGTCCATCCCTAATTACCGTGCACAGTACCTACCTCCTATCCATAGTCATATTTTATTATAAGTAGCTACATTATAATAGATTAATTAGATTAGGTGTACGTTATATTATATTTAAATTGAAATTGAAATTAAACACATTAATGTCAACGTAATACATTTGCAATTGGTACTTTGATTTGAAAAACATAAAACCTACCTATTTGTGTATTAGTATATTTTAATGTCCCCCTGCCTTTATATTATGTTAAAATATGCTCTACTAGATAACCTATATACTTTTATGTTATGTAAATAATTACATTTTAGTTAGCACCTAATATGTTGTCTGTGTAATTAATTGTACGTGTTCTTTATTACAATATTGTCATTATCACTATATTGAGTACTGTATTTTTTTAAAATAAAAGATACGATTCGTGAATCTTTTCAATACTTCAATGAATATTTATTGCGTAGGTGTGCCCAAAACGAATTATAAATAATCTTATATACCCACTGTAATTAATATTTTACCATACTAAAACATCATTTAACTGAGAACTTGAAATGTTCCAAAGTTATGAATTGAGAACATTGTTAATCTACGTCAGATATATCCAACATAGATGTTTACATGGTTTACATGTATACATGCATAGATGTTTACATGTATGTTAATGTATTTCTTTGTTATGTATAGGTATTTGATATATTTATAACAACGGCTTCTGTCAATAGACTTTTATTACTATCTAGTATAGGTATCTAAAATATTGCTTATTTGTATTGTACATAATTTTTTTTTTTTTTTTTTTACAAGACTTAGCAAACCAACACTAGTAACTATTTCAATAATAATTACCTATTATTGAATAATTTGTTAATATGCACATATCTAAACTGTTGAACGGATTGGGCCCAATCTATCAAAACTTATAACAAGTACCCAAAAATTAATTTAAAAGAGTTATAGTTATAGTTATTGATCATCTTACAAAGTATTTGGTAATAGTAAAATTATGTTTACTTTAGTTCAAATAAACTGAGTCGATGTCATCGTAGATTTCTTTAGTGTTTTTTTTTTTTTTTTTTTTTTTACAATCACTTCTATTAAAATAATAAGTTTACAACCCCCTCCCCTAGAACAACAACCCTAAATACGTCACTGTTCACTAAATACATCGCTGTTCGTACTAACGTAAGAAATTAGGCCTATTTTGGGTATTTAAATCACACTTTTATTTTAATATTTACTTTGTGTTTGTAAACAACTTATTTTACTGAAAATCTTGATCCAACCAAAATCTTTACAGCAACTTTCCAGTGTCATTTATAACCATAAATGACCATAACTGGTGATAGCATGTAGCATATAGATGGTCATTTACGTGTATTTGTCTTAATAAATTTGAAAAACTAACAATTGCTGATATAATTTTTGTTAATACATAAGCGACAAATGTAAAATACTAGGTGTACTAATAATACTCTGCTCGGAATCGTTTTGCATTAGCAATGGTTCATCATAAACCATGAACGAAAGTGGATAAAACAACAATTAAACATTATTTCAATTTAAACGAATTTCAAGACAGCAAGGTGGTATGGGGTATGCTAATTATTACTTATCGTAGGCACTAATAAATGTTTCGTATAAAGCTTCTAGCTTTTAATTAGGTAAGATTTTTTTTTGTATTATAATATGATTACGGTAATGATTATCTGTCAATGTATATATTTTTTAATCAGATTTCGTCCGTGTATTAAAAAGAAAAAATATTGATCTAATCAAAAAATTCAATTTTATCATTGCAGTATTATACTACACACGAAATATTATACATTATAATATTTTCAACCTTATTATCTGTATTATTTGGTAGGTAATTCAGAACGATAAATTATCCACGGTTCGCCATACAAGGTCGAGGCCACCAGTGTATATAATATTAAAGGTGGCATTATATATTATATTAGCATACAAGTTATACGTGTAGACATTGCTTGATGGAAGCTGTACGGAGCATAAAATAGCTATAGAAGACCAGAAAATTAAAAAAAAAAAAAAAAAAAAATCACTTGTATATAATATTTTACCACCGCTTCTCGAGTTTTTCTACAGATTTATCAGTGCGTATATTACCTATTATAGTTTTACGGCAATATCCGTCCGTCGGCTATGGTATAGACTATAGGTATGATATAAACATATTTTGATAATCGACAACGAAATACCTGTAACCGTGACGAATTTATGAACAAACGTTAATCAGGATACCCATATTTATACCTACTGGTTTTATTTTATTTATCGAAATATCTTATGGGACCGACGTGACTATCTGCAGTGACCATCATATTACTGGATATTTTTGAAAAAAAAAAAAATAATAATTAAGTATGGTTAAAATATGGTTATTGATTTATAAAATATGCATATTTATCTCGGTATTTAATATTTATTAAGTAGATACCTGACGTAAAATTTTCTCGGCGATTACGTAAATTGTTTGATCGAAACAAACAACAAATAAATAATTTGTGCTCGAATGGGGGGGGGGAGATTCAAGAGGACGGAGTTCCACGAGTAACTTTTCAGAAATTGTTGCAAACCTCTACTATTGTTTGAAGTGAGACGCATGTGGTGCATACAAAGAATGGGATAACAGCGAAATCAATACCCCTGAACAACCCCTTGTTGATAGGGTCCTTAAGAGATGGACATTTCTAAAACAAGTTTGTCTGTTATTAATCGAAAGCCCAAAAAAAAAATTATTATACAGCTTTAATAATGACTGGAAAAAACCGGAAAAAATATTTTTAAAAAATGAGCTAATACTGGGGGTACGGGTGTACCACTGGTATAGATGGGAAGTTAAGAGGGTCTAAGAGGGTCTAAGAGGGTAGTACATTTCTTTCTTCATTCACTTCTTCATGCTTTACATGCCATGCAGGCATTTCAAAGCTTCTACCAGGTCCTTCCAATGATTGCTGTTCTCCACGTCCTCCATTACTGTTGATTCATCAATCCTTATTTACTCCTTTACCCTATCCATCCAACGTTGTCGCGGTCTTCCCCGTGGTCTTTGTCCATGTGGATTACTGATTAAATCATTAATGATATTAAATGATATAATATAATAATAATTAATAATAATAATATTAATTTAATAATATTAAATTAATTAAATGATTAATATCAATTCTGACATAACCACCGTTCTTGAATCGGCAATACACATATTTTTGAAAAATTAGATTTGTTCCATATAATTTTTTACTCAGACAGTTTTCGTCAAAATTCCTTTATAAAAACAAATTCTACATTAAACTCAATTTTTTTTTTAGCCCTAAGTAAAACTTAATAAACTTCCTGTTAAATTTTCAAGCATTTCTGTCAAGTCTAACAATTTTACTACAGGTACTCACCTACCGAATAAAAATTACATACTAAACTCGCAAAATTAAAATATCTATAAAAAGCCCAAAAATGACTCAAATATTTTGAATATAATAACATAAATAACCTGTGATCGATTTGATTAGTTATAGGCCAAATTTTTCGATCAAATATGTACTTACTAATAAACGTTATAATTTTTTTGCATTAAGCTTTAAGAAAAAAGTAATATTGTAACAAATCATAATATGTAAAACATTTAAACAGATCAATCATAAATGCTAAAAATTTAAATACATTAGTTAAGAAGACATCACAGTAACATTTGATGTCTCTGACTTTCTAACAGGCAATATAGATAGAAAATGTATTTTGGTACTTCCAACATAAAACAAAAATTATATCACCAAATTATAGATGAAAAAATTTACAATGGTTTTAAATAGGAATTTTTTGATATTCATTTCCCAGATTTACTCTTAATTTTAAAAAATATATACAAATTTAATTATTTTTTTATACCTTAATAGAATATTGTATAATATAAGTTTTAATTTAGTAAAATAATTTTTGTTTTAGGTTTAGTCGATCCTGAGTAGTATAAGAAGTACAAAAACACATTTTATTTTTTTATATGGCCCAATAGATAGACAGATGACAAATGTTACTGTGAAACCATTTTAACATAAATGCAAATTAAATTCTTAATGTTTCATTGAAACATAACATTATTATGATGATTTATTCATGAATCAATAATACTCATTGTCTAAAAACATAATTGAAATAATTTAACACATTTTAGTAATATAAGATTTAAAAAATAATAAACATTACAACAACAGAATATAGGAACCTGTATAGTAGTCAATTTAATTTGATTAATATAATACATTTATAATTATGTTTAGCAGAAATCAATTGAATTATCTTATTAAATGTATTAACACCATGAAAAAATACTTTAAAAACTAAAACTTAAACCATTCCAAAATATCTATAGGTACTATTCTAACAGTCTTAACATTATTGAAGTTAAATATAAAAATGAATTCACAGAAAATTTAACAGAATTTAATAAATTATGTATTATGTATTACATACATTTTAATAAAAAATTGTGTTGTGTAAAAACTATATACATAGTAAATAGTTTGATTGTTTTAGTTTTTTTTTTAAATTTAAAAGTATAAAAGATAATTAAAAAATATTTGATTTATAAAATTTGTATATAAATCTTACTTAACCAACCACTCCAAACTATTCCTTAATAGAGATATATTCAAATAACAATTATTTTCAGGAATAGGGTAACTTGGCAGACTTATCCATTAACGTATACAAGCTGAGTAATGATGATATCATACCAATAACGCCAATAGTACTTGGACTTAACTTAATAATCCCTAAATTTGTCAATGGTAACATTAAATCACAGCTATTTTTTACAGTATCAATTAACAAGTCTTTATGGTTAGAAACAAAGTGAACTGCTTCTTTGGTGAATACTTCTTTGGGAGTTACATTTCTGTTCAGAGTGTTGAGTATTTTTTTTTTCAGAATTGCTTTCATCAAGTTGTTTAGTTCCATAGTGTCTCTGACAAGATTCATAACTATGGACAGTAACCAATATTTATTACCTACTTGACCCCAAGAAATAGCATTAATTTGTATAAAATTATTTCTGTTTAACCATATAAAATGATCGCATAACAAATACAAAGAATGGGCGATCTTAGAAAATGTCACACAGTATTTGATTATTATGTCCGGATGATTAACGGTCAGCAAGGCAGCATGCAATGAATCTGTAAACCGGCCAAATCTTAATACTGTAAAACAAACAATAATAATATGTATTAATTAATCATTATCAAATATGCCAAAAATCTATTTACCTATTATTTGTAAAATTAAATAATAATAAACATACAGAACAATTTATAGAAAATATTTATTTTCACAACTCTAAAACAAATTTTAAAAACAATAGGTACAGTTAATAACAGATTCAGATTTAAGCGGTATGGAAAAAAAAAACAATTAATAAATAAGTACTGATAATATATGACAACTATAACAGAACTGCTGGTTGAAAAGTAAACAAAAAATCTAATTATGTAATACTTACATTTACGAAATGTCGCCAAAGACTGTTCAAGATTTTTGAATTTTTCAACCGATTCAGTATTAAAGTCTTTTTTTTCCATATAGTGCCATGCCGTTTTTGAACCGTACTGTACAAACCTAGACAAATATATATCGAACATACATTAATAACATAATACCTCACAACATTAAACATTGTCAAATGTATGATGCACGATAATTTTTGATCACGCATAGTCAGCCATTGTCTAAGATGTCAATAAATTATATTATATTAATTGTAATTTATATTTTACGTTTAGATACTCTAATTCTCACTTTTCACACGATTCTATCAATTACCTATTAATTACTATTTCTCAACCTAGGTATCTAAAGTTAACGTCCAAGTCACAAGTATAACTGAGTGCACCTATATTTCCTCAGCAGCTACCAACACTACCATTTTAAAAATATCATTCCTCACGTAAGTGGAATTAGCTAGTTTCACCATATCTGTTGATGTTACTTTCTTGATTTACTTCACACACCCTTATAACTTCTGGCCACTTCTTTTTTTTTTCTCCAGCTTTTATCTACATTCGATCCCCATAATATCTTTTCTCTACTATCTAATAATTTCTTTTCACTCGAAATTCCAATCTGGTTATCGTCTTTAATGTATTTAATCATAAGATTACAAGATTACCTGCTATAATAATTTATTCATTCCTAATCTTATAGAACCTGGTCGCACAACATACGTCCACTTTAGCATTCCCATTTCTGCTAGTTTTGTTTTTAAACAACACCTAACACTGTCATGGCAATTTTACAAAATTTATCTTTTGGCTTTTATTCTTAATGATATAACACACGGCGTTTCAATCAAATTCGTTCAGCCACACATCCATTTCTTCCACTATTCTTCCTAATAAATGTAACCCGATGTGTAATAATACCTTGCTATTCTGTCTCTGCCGGCGGTCTTGTTGTTCAGGTCTACGAAAGCGTCCATGTTTTATTCGTGTACAAATCACAACTATAATATTACTATGGATAGGTACCGTTAGGTTTACACGAAAACTGTTTGCTTTTTTTAAATATGCTGACTTGCCAAAGGCCAAACGCGAAACCAATAAAATGTTAGAGAAGTTTAGGACGGACGAGTGTCAAAAAGGTAGGTATTTGGAAACCCCGACGACTCGAGTACCAAGAATCGCGCAGCCGCCCGATAAAACTAATAAAATATATACTATTAATAAAGTTCCCGGAAATTCGGTACCGGCATTTGCTCAGAAATTACCGAGGGTAACGGACAGAAATCACCAGAAACATAACATTTCGAATTATCGAATAATATTTTTGATAATGACAATAATGTTATTATCATGGTTCAAGATATACTGGTTAAACAACGAATTCTGGTATGGTTGTTTTATAAATGATCCGTGGGAACTACTGGCTGACGCTATCTAGCGGTGTAGTTTATTAAACCGATATGAAACTCTGGTTTATTGTTACCGCACTTTTTAAATACAACTAATTGATGTTAAAAATCATATAATATAACATATTATATATATATATATTTTTTTTTTTCATCTTTTTATGATATTCTCAATGCTGAATACTGATAAATTGATTGTTTTCTTCGTAAAACGGGAATGTCATCCTCTTTTCCAGACTTGTAAATTGCATGCAAAATGTGTTTGTACAAAACCGCCTACATGTGCTACAGCTGAACGGCGTTTCTCAAAGTCAAAGCTTATCAGAACAAATCTCCGTCTGCAATGGGACAAGCTGGGCTGGACAACTTAATGCTTATCTCGTGTAATCCAGATGTACAATTCACAGAATGTCATATTATGGTAAAATGATTTCGTAAGCATTATATATTATTTTCTTTGATAATATTTGCTTAATATTGTACCTGTTTTCCCGTTTTTCCCGGCCTTTCCGATTAACCGAGGAAATCAAAAAATGACCACGTTAAAGTACGTCCCCAGACAGATATTCATTTGGAAAAAGTGCCATTATTATAAATCGAACCACAAAGGGCAAGTGGGTCAGTAGGGTGCAAGTGGGCGAGTAGGGTGCCGTATTTCATACTTCTTAAACCGCCGATTGAAATGTCGCACACCGCCTCTGAATAGTTGCGTTATATTTTTGTGTTCACAATTAACTACACGATTTATAACTGTCCACGTCTCCGTAAAACCAAACGAGATTTAACGGAAGGTAGAAATGGGACGTCTTGGATTGCGTTCAGGACTGTGCTGGCGTTTAGGGACGGTTCCCTTGATTGGAATCCGGGTTTGGTGCCCCCGAAGTGTCGCGCCACCGCAGTATTTCACTTGGGATTGTTAACGTTCTGCCGTTAATAATCGACGTTGTCGAAAGGTATGGGGGGGGGGAGAAATAAAAAACGCCGCCGCCCCCGGCTTTACGGTTTATTCGCAGTGCTGGGAAGCGGTACGTTTCATTCCGAACGCAGGACCGGGAAGGGGGTTCACGAAAGCGCCCTATTTAAGAAGAAAGCGAACGCCGGGTTCCGTTCCTCCCGGTTTCGGAAAACGAAAAAAAAAACGTCGGAACGCGGCGACGACACCGTCCCGGCAACGGTTCAGCGTCGCGGGGTACGTATCGCCCAGCGGGCCGGCCAATCGATTACGACTGTCAATTGCGTTTACGCGCCCGCGTTGTTATTGCGTTACATACGCGTTTCGAATATTACGGAAAACCGTGCGACACCAAGGTGGCCGTACACACCAGCGGATTCTATGGCGGATTCGGTCCGACGGGCTAGGTCTTTGGCTGTGCCCACTAACGTAAAAAATACAAGTCCGCTCATCTTCACGGACCGTGTCCTCCAGCGGGCTCAGTCCGTTGGTTAGTGGAGGAAATCCGTACATTTTTATGCTGCGGATCAAGTCCTCCGGTCTTTCCAAGACATCCCGAAAGACCCGCGGATTAATACGACGGATTACAGCAGTTATTATCAGTTATTTACTGACTGTTATTTGTTATGCTGCGAATTTGTGTTAGAGCATTTTATTATTATTATTTATTATTTTATTCTCGTACATTTTAATATAATGAATAAACGTATGCCTCCGAGGAAAAAAAAAAATCGATAGCCGCTGCAGGGTTGATGGTCGGGTGCCATTATATCTCAAAGGCAAAAAGGCGTCAGGTGGGTAAAGAACTGGCTCGGTAGATAGCACGTGTTTAGTCATATGCCATTATTACAAGAGTTGGACAAAAACGAACCAAATGATTTAAAATACTATTTGAGAATGTCAAGACCAGATTTTGATCGACCCTTGGGTAAGTGTTTTACGAATTAAAATTCCACTTCATTATTTGTACACGATTAGTAAAAAAATATTATGCATAATTATTATAATGAAAAAAAGGAAATTCAACCATAGAACATTGGGATTTATGAAATGTTTAAATATGATTGTTATCAAAAAAAAAAAAAACCTTAACGAACCATTGATAAGTAAACAGATGATTTTGTATGATGATAATAAATGAAAAATATTATTATCAATACAATTTATTTTCAAAGTCCGTCAGATCCGGTCTTTCTAAATTGATGTAGTTGGTGGATCAGCGAGGGACTCGATCCGTCGGACCGAGCCTGACGGATTTTTCGCTTTGACGGATTGGGTCGTCAGAACATCGCACACGATGGGACTTTTCAGAGGATTTAGTCCGCCAGTGACCAAATCCGTCAAAACATCCGCCCGCGCACGGTTACCTATCGGATATCCGGGTCCGCATTACGGCGGCGTCCGCATCGTTGGCGCGCGTTACGCGCGCAACAATTTTCGCCCGGACCGTGCGCCTCGTATACGTATCCCGCGTAACGGTTTGAACGTCGACACGTCATTTTCGCTTGCCGGCCCGCGCGCGTATTAAGTTCAACCGTGCGCGTCGGGGCGAATAAAAACGGGCACGGGTCGTGGTGGGCGATTCCGTCGGCCGTCCGCGAAAACGTTCGACCAGTTTACAAAAAAAAAAAAACCGAAATCGAAAACCGCTAGTGCCGCCTAAAATTTCGCCGCGTTTCCTACGTTTCCCCACCACCGATTTTTCCCGGGAGTTCAATGGAAACTACTTTGAAATTACCTACCGCCTAGGTCCGAAACGTAACGGGCGAAAAAAGCGTCTCGAGGTTTTTTTTTTTTGGTACAAACCGTTTCGAGAAAGAGAGGAAAAATAGAAAATTACCCGCGACGGCGAACCGACAGATCAATCGCCGCGCGCCTCGACCACCTAATTTACGTTTTCTCTTATCTGTTAAGACGAGTGGAAGTGGAAGTGCCGTTGTTCGCCGTACCGGATTTATGGTGTTTATCGTGAAACGTAGACACCAGGTAGGTTAGCTAGGTCACGGTGCTGCTGTCGGCAATCCGTGCGACGCCCGATTCGTAAGCGTTTTTCCCGTGTGGCGTTTATCGTTAACGAGCGCGTGCAGCGTACTGCCGACGCGACTGGGGAACCGCGTTTAACCGTTCCGCACTCCGGTTACTTGTTCCGTTTGTTGTTCGGCCGGCCGCTGCAGCGCCGTTGGCAACAAGTTGTTTTCGATTTCTACGTCCGGACGCCCGTTGATAAATGAACGGTAATGATAACAATAATTGTTGATCGATACGATCCCGAAAACTGCGCTGCGTTCACACACTCACCGACTACGACGTGAGCGGCGCCATGAGCTATTCCAGTCGAATTTTCCAATCCCCGGAGTACGTCAGCTTCAGGTGTAACGTTCCGTTAAAGCAAATCGTATTGGACGAAACCGGCACCAACAAGGTGGGCGTTTTTAATTTCACCGTAATAAGCGTGTTTGTTTCTGCGGCGCGGGTTTTGAACGACCCGGTTTCTACAGGATTATCCGTTTCGCGCTCGGGTATCCTCTTGCGGCTTGTTGCGTGTCACCGAATCGTTTCGTTTAGCGTCCGGTTGACATCGGTCTTTTAAAACTGTCGCCGGTTTATGCAGCCCTGTGGCTGCCAAAAACGTGCAAAGCTATTTATCAATTATTCGCAATAAACGATTAAAACGGCTTCGTACAGTCCGTACCAGCGCGTTGTTCAAAACCGTAATGTTGAAACGCATAATTTACCGTAGTGTATCGACTTCACAATGCCGCGGGACATTGTATAATAACTGATATCGTTAAAATTTGGTTCTAGGGATGGCGAGTGTACGACACCGGTCCCCGATCGGTCGAGACTCCCCTGGTGTTCTTGCACCCGGTCAGCGGTCGAGCCGAAGTATTTTTTAAACAGCTGCTAACCCTCAGTTCAAAAGGCTATCGAGTAATATCGGTTGGTTTTTTTTTTTTTTTTTTTTTTTTCAAAGGTTATTACAGTCTGGTAAAAATTAAATTTAAACGTTATAATAGTAAATATTTGTTTAATATACAGGCCGAAAATCCACCTTACTGGAGCGTGACAGAATGGTGCGAAGGATTCATGCAACTATTAGATCATATGGACATTAAACAAGTGCATTTGTTTGGAGCATCGTTAGGTAATTGACTAAATAATAAACGTTATATAAATGGTGTTTCATAAAGATTAATTGTCAATCTTTTAGTATAATCAAGTATTATCAAATCCCTATTACTCATACTGTATATAAATAATGTTAATATTGTAATTTGTACTTTTAATTAACTATAGTTGATTCTTTAAATAGTAACTGAGATAATAATAAGTATGCGCTCACCTATACCTAATTATATATGTATGTAAATATATATATATATATATAAAAACATAATTTTTAACACTCATTGATACACTAGAAGAAAAAAAAAAAATTAATCATATTTGTAATCTCATTATTTAAGACTTATTTTTCTTTAGGTTTGCATACCCATATAATTAAGTGTTAAAATAATAAAGTTAATTATAACATAATTGATACTTTACCGTAGTGTGAGTGACGCCATTTGAAAATGATTTATAATTTAAAGGTAATGTAAATTGTGTGTACTTAAAACAATAGTATGAAATAACTTACTAAGGTCACTTAGTTTTACTATGGCCAATATTACAAAAATATGTGTTGATACATCGTATTATATTTTGTTGACATAATTAAAAATATAGTATTATATTGCTTATAAATAAATACCATAGACAGCATAATTTTTAGTGTGTTGCCATTAATGAATTATATAAATTAAAATATTCCATTGTAAAAAAGTATAGTTGATATTATTTTTAGCATAAGAAATAAACAGAGGTAATTTAACAACATGTTTTTAATTTCAATTATCACCGGATTCCTAGAAAAAAAGGGGGTTTATTTCTCCCAGCCCAATATTGAAAATTGTTGAAATAACATTAATGTTACTACTATTACTTACTATGAATTTATTATTTTATAACAATATATTATGTATATTTAATTTAAGATCGCCAAATTTAAGTGGAAAACTGGTGGAAAATTTGTTAATTAATAATTAAACATTGTATTCATATTTCAAATACAATAGTTTTAAACAAAACTCAATATAATATCTTAGTAAAATTTTAAAATTGACTTTTTAAAAACTGGTGTACTTCTAAATAACACCGTTTTAGGTATATTCAATAGTATTGATTTTTTATTTTTTTTTGATATGTTCAAAAAAAAAGAATTTGAAAATAAACAATTAACTCGCTAAAGTACCAACTGTGTGTTAAAATCTATTAAATATGAAGGATAAAATTTATTGAGTATTAGTACTAAATTAAAATACCTACTAGAAAAGTTTTTATTGAAGATACATTTAAAGTACATAATTTTTGAATAATTTCATTATTTAAGTTTGTGCTCGATATATTTTTAAAAAATATTTTTTTTTTTACCAATCGACTTAAATAAACTATTTAAAATTAATACCTAATTGAAATAAACAGTAATTATTTTTAATATTTATTTTTCTTACCTTAGCCAGAATATAAGAAATTTTCTGGAATCTATGCTGTTGTTCTCATCAGATTTCATTATAATGATTTTTTGTTTTTTTTTGTCTGGTACAAATAATAGTTATTTCCCAAATTGCGAGAAGTTCATATTCTGTAAAATAAAAGTAATTCCCAATTTTGTGCAGATAGCTACTAAATAGATAAGCATAGAGACTGTTTGTCATTGTTAACGAGATTAAAATGACAAGTCTTTGGGTGTAAAACCTAATCTTTAAAAACAAATTACAGTCTCTAGGTATTATATGACTTTATTATAATATAACTAGAATGATACTTTTCTGTTATCCAAGACTACTAAAATTTGCCACTTTCCTATTATTACAGACTGCGTTATTATTTTTTTAAATCATATGTACCTAGTATTTTAATATGTAATATGTTAATATAAATGTTTAAAAGTTAAATTGAATGACAAATGGAATTCATTCAAAAATTAAGTTTTTTTTTTTTTGCTAAATATGAATTATTGGTAATTAATTAATTGTAATTGTAAATAATTTAATTGTAATTAATTGTAAAGGTAATTGGTAATCTATTGCAGGAAATTGGATTTTCATTGAAGTACCCTAGTATTCTTTGTTCTTTTAGGTGGTTTTTTGGCACAAAAATTTGTTGAATTCTCTACAATCGTGCATCAACCTAGAGTGATATCACTATTCCTTTGCAATTCATTTACTGACACTTCAATATTCAAATACAAGGATGCCGCTGTTTTGTAAGTTGATTGATACCTTTATGTAAACAATATATTTTACCCAATGAATGAATGAAACTATTAGGTACTTTTATTTATTTTTATTTTTAATACATTTGATTATACATTTCTATACTATTTTATTTTAAAGCCAGATTTTCAAATATTATTTCTCTATATACACTAATCTATTAATTTAACTATACTATTATTATTGAAGTTGTTTAACTATGCAGGTTTTGGATTTTACCAGCTATGGTACTCAGGAAAATGGTTTTGTCAAATTTTGCGTCTAGAGAAACCTTTTACGATACACAAATAATGGATTCAATTGATTTTATGGTTGAACTAGTAATTAACTTATTAATAGTTTATTCATTGTAATAATACTATTTATGAAACAATAATTTTATGCTTTCCGGCTTAGATTGAATCGTTATCACAAGCAGACCTTGCTTCTCGTTTGACCATAAACTGCTTAAACAGCCGCGTCAATAAATCACTTATGAGGGGCCTTAAAAGTGTCACTCTTATGGACGTATTTGATGATTATGCCTTGGGTTCACCCATCAAAGAAAATATCTACAAAGAGTATCCTGATGCCAAACTTGCCCAATTAAAATCTGGTGGAAATTTCCCATATCTCAGTCGTAGTGATGAAGTGAATTTGCACTTGCAGGTAAATTTAGCTGTTCATTTTAATAGACATAGTAAATACTAAATATAATTATTTGTCTTTCCAATTTCAGATTCATTTGAGAAAATTCAACGGCACCCCTTACAGTGCAAATGATAACATTCCCATTACAGAATAATATTAAATCACAAGAAATACAAATTTGCTCAAATCTTAAGCATTAGTATTGCTAATAGTTCATAATATATGTGTGCCGTGAAACAGGAGATTAAGTTTTAATACTTACAAAATCCCTGTATAATTATTGATAATACTGTGTTATGTAATATTTTTTGTTATTATATTTTAATTTTAAAGTCAAATTACTATTATAATGAAATTGTGTGTGCTTGTACAAATAGTGAATACCATATAATATTTGTTGTACTTTAATTTTTTAATGTTCCTCGTCTATATATCTTGATGAATGTTTACTCTGAGCCTAGATAAACTGTTTAAACACATCATAAGCTTCATTTGATGTTGACATAATTGTCTTGGTTAAAATACGCGTTGGAAGGGAACAAGCATTTTACCAATATGAATAACTATGAAAATCAAATTATATAATTATTTATGCAAATAATATTTTAAATTTATTTTAATTGCATTAAATAAACTATTTTAACGATATTTGATATGTTATTTTTGAAATGATTTATAGTTTAATATTTGTTTTTAATTTATATATATAATTATTATTTTTAAATTGTTTTTTTTTTTTTTACAACTGCATTCTTAAATTAAGGTGGTGGTATATTTATACCTTATATAATCGTTGTTTGTTTTTTTTTAGAAACTAATTTACAGTGTATACTTTTTAATGATAATAAATGATTTTTTAACTTAACTGTTTTCTTTAAAAATTTAAATGTAGTAATAATTTATTTTCAGTCAGTAGCTACACGAACAAATGAAATAAAGTTACAGTAGCAATAGACTACGTGCTAGAAGGAAGAAAGACAAAAAATGTTAAATGGACACAATACAGCTAAATCCAGAGGTTTGAAGTAATAGAATGAGAGGAAAGATCCAAGAACATGATTATTAGAAGATGGCCACCATTTTAACTTGAAGACCATATGATCATGGTGAATTACTCTAAATATTACAAAGATACATATGGAAACAGTTACCTAAAAAGTAAAGTTATTTAAATGATTAGCCAAAATTACAACAATTATTTTACCATGGTATCCATTCAAAAATTATTTTAGTTTGCTTAATTTGAATTGAGCTCAATAAAAGTGATGGTGTTTTTATGTTTATTAAAAATGGTACTTTCGAGTGTAAATAAAAGTATTATTAACAGTTGAAATGCTCTAGAACTAACTTTATTTACTAGAAATAAATATTTTACAGTTTGTGGAATTTACAGATCGCCCAGTGATAATGTCGATAACTTCTTGTTTAATTTTGATTTATATTTATCTAAATTTAATAATAAACCTGTAATTATCTTTGAAGTTTTTAATATTAATATCTTATTCAATAATTTTAGGTCTGTTGATTATTTGAATTTATAATCTAGCCATGGTTTTCCATCACGCATAAAAAGTTTCACTAATAGCTAATAAATTGGCCACTATTATTGACCATATTTTTATAAAAAAAATATCTTAGTTTACAGTATTGATCCTATTATACTAAAATGTGATATTACTGATCTCTTTACAACTATTATTAACATAAATTTTAAGAATATTAGTTTTAGCTATGTTAACAATAATCTGAAACAGTATAAAAAACTGATTTTATCCAATTAAATTCAAGATTAAAAGCTGAATATTGGTCTTAAATGTTTAGTATTAGTGATATTGATGCCTTAATTAACTCTTTCTATAATAAATTTAACTCAATTATTAATTTATCGACCTCTATTAAATCTTCCTATGTAAGAAGTAATATAAATATTAAACTTAAGGAATGGGTTTCTAGTGGCATAGTTGTATCTATTAGACATAAAAAAAAAAAAAAACTATCACTTGAATTTTTAAAAAAATCACCTTTTAATTTTTAGGAATTTACTAAACATTCTTAGAAGAAAAGCTAAGGCAATTTTCTACTTAAGTATGATTCAGAATAATTCTAAGAAAATATGGAAAATTATTAAAAAAGGCACAGGGCAATGTAAAAAAAATAGTGTTCTAATCAACATTATTATAGGTGTAGATGGTTTAATTAAGAAGAATTATGAAATTTGTAACGAATTTAATAAATTCTTTGCAAATGTTGGGAAAACTTATTGGGCATGATATAATCGAAAATTGATTTTTATAAAAACCGTGGAATTGGCTCAATAAGAATAGTTTAATACAACACTATCTTTTTGAATACCATTTCACAAGCTGAAATAATCTGTGAAATCAAACCTAACAATTTTCATTATCTCCATGGAAAAACTAATACTGTATTGAAGAATACTGTTAACAATATTGTTTCTCGTATTCAGGTCCGTCGCTAGGGCACAAGCAGGTCAGGCCATTGAATAAGAACGGAAACATTTTCAGTGAGACTGAGGCGACATTTTTTTTACGATGTAATAATTGTTGCGTTAAGTTTCACAAGTAATCAATTTTACAAAATCCCTCAAACCGGTTGGTTGGCAATCAATAATAAAATCCGAAAGATGAAAGCGCGTTTCAAAACAATACTAATAATGTGAGAACAATGAGTGTTTGAGTTAGGTAGATGTGTATCATATTTTATCCAATAGCGTATTATACTTCGTTATTATTTTATGTCAACCGCTATTATGCCTGACCTAACCCAACTAGTGTTTTATCGGAACCTTACTTGTCGGAGAAATATCCATAATGATATGGGTCTATAAGTGTATATATATATATTATACTCCAATATTTACCGCCCTCGCATTGTAATTTGATGACGTGTACAATATTACATTTCGACTACGACGATAACGGTTTGAATCCAATATTTATTTTTAGATTTAATATAAATAATAATCGCAGTTGATTCTATGTATGGGTATTAAATTTCATGGAATTTATAACGTTTAAATTGATCACACGGCAGGTACACTTTTTCCACATGATATAAAAAGACGGGTGCAGCCATTGGTATCGATAGTTTAATGTATACCTGTAAGCAACAATAAACCGTTACTTACGTAAAAACGATTCTGAGCGGAGTTCAGTTGATTGTGATGTTTTGTCAAGAATGTATATGTCATTTTATAGTAAAACAATTGAATAGGTTAAATATATTTTCTTTAATAATATTTGTTTAATGTTGTACCGATTTTCCCAGTTTTCCTACGTTTATCCTGGTTTTTCACATTTGCTGGGAAAACTGAGAAAATCGAAAAATTGCTATTATTAACAGTTGGAGCAAAATTGCTGGTTGAAAAGTTGTGTACAGGAAAAAAAATCTTAATATTTTAGTAGTTTATTCTGTACATTTTCCCGTTTTTTTTTTTCGGTTTTTCAAATTTTATGAGAAAACTTGTGAAAATCGAAAAATAACCTTCTTAAAGTACCTCCCCAAGCCCGATTTCTTGTCAGAAAAGGTGCTATACTTAGAAATCCGAACAAGTCTTCTGGTAGAAAAGTTGCTTACAGATAAAAAAAAAAATAATAAAATCTTTTTAAAACCATAAGCTTCTTCGCTCCACTCAGAATCTGAAAAAATTACTTTAGATCTTTTTAAATCCTCTTTATCTATTCGAACGCAGATTGTCAGATTAAATGGTGTTCTTAGTGATTGTGCTAATATTACTTGTGGTGTATCTCAGGGAATCGTCCTTGGTCCCATCTTGTATCTAATTTATATAAATAGTTTACTAAATTTTTATGATGAATCTAATATTTCCTGTTATGCTGATGATACAGCATTATTACTCCATAGCGAAAATTATTATGGTCTATATAATAAAGCAAATTCATTATTGCATTGGGTTTGATTAGATAGTCATATGTTAATACTACGTATATCTAAATCTAAGTATATGACATTCATGATTGAAGATTCTCCTTTAAATTATAACTTTCAGCTAAAATCTCATTTTTTGATTGTGATTTTGACACTGGGGATGTTATAATTGTAAGTGTTGTGTTTTGTAAAACGCGGAAGATTATAAATATCTGGGTGTTATTTTAGATAGTAAACTAAAATGTGTTTGTCACATTAATACACTGGTTTCTAATTTAAGTAAATTTTTCTTTTTTTTATAAAAAAATTGTAAAACGGTACTTTAATATTAAAATGAAGAAAATTATTTACATTTCTCTGGTGCAATCTATTTTAAGTTACAGAAAAATAATGTTTTGGTGTTGTGCTTATTATATACACTTAGAAAAATTAAAAGTAATATTTAATTGTATAGTTAAATTTTTATTGGGCAAACATAGGTTTTATAGTAGGTACTAAGTTGCTCTATGACAAATTTAATGTACAGCATTTTTATAAGTTATTTAAATCAAATGTATTATTGTTATTATGTAGGCATAAGGATCTATTAACCATGGTAAACCATTTTTACACCACGAGATATAAGGCTTATATAAACACTGTTTCGAATAGTAATACAACCTTTTGATATCAATGTACTTTAATATTGTAGACACTAATTTATGTATAAAATTGAACATTAATTTATATAATTTTAAAAGTTTAAAGAATTTAAAAATATTTCTAACGTAATTTAGATTTTGGCACTATTTGATTCTTATATTCTCTTGTATTTACATCAATTATAACTGTTATATTTAATAGCATAAGGCATATTTGTTTAAATAATTATATTATTCTTCGTTATTACGTCTACTGAACTTAATTACCGTTCCCATCACAAGTTTGGCTTACAGAGAATGTTGCATATTGTATGAATACTAATTTTGCAAAAAATAAATAAATATTATTATTAATTCGTTTTTTTGAGAATTTCATGTATAGAGTATAATTATGTCATAATATATAATGGTTATATAGTCATAAATAATATTAATATAACAACTAATTGAGAAAACGAGAATGACAGAAGGAAAGAAATTATCGATACGTTATCTGTTCAGGCAGAAATAAATGTTTGTTTATTTAATGCCAATATAATATAAATACATTTTAAAAATTTTGAATGTAAATTCAGAACCCGTAAAATAATTATCTTCTTAAATTTGTATATTGAGTTCTACGTAAAAAAAAATTAATATTTACATTTCTAACATGTTGGTTTTCCATTGTTTTCTTTCTTTGAAGAATTATGTGGCAGCCAACAACATCATTCATCGTTTCCTAACAAAATGCATTTCCTCAATTATGTGTTGGAGATGAAAACTACTACCTATTTGTTACAGTCGTGCAAGGTAAACGAAAAAAACTATTATCCCATGAATCAGGTGCATGGATTTTTATTTAATTAAAATGTTCAAAAATTTGATAATGATTATTATTCAGACCAGTATCCTTAATATTAACAATCTCGAGGCCGGTTTATTGTGTTCATTTTATATAAGAATATTGGTAACTATTTTAAATATTATCACCAATTAAAATAACTTGGAAATTAACCAAAACTAAGTAATATCTACTCAGTATGTTTAAACAAGTTGTTAGTAAAGTTAAAATATGCAATTTTTAAAATTGGAAATATTTAAACACTGTATACAGTTACCCAATAATCATTTACTTGAATTCCTTATACCTTACCTGATAAGCTTATTAATTTTTTAAAAAAACGAAAAATAATTAGTTTTTCAAAAATGTTATCACGCGTGACACTAATATTGAATAAGATATACAGCAAATCTAGGATCCTTAAGACATTTGTAAAATATTTTTAGAGAGCCCCCTTTTTTTTTTTTGTTAACAAATAGTAAACAATTTTTCACCTAATCAACATAAGAAATTATCTAATAATGCAAATTATTTTATTAAAGTGCATCATAAATTTAAAAAAGAGCTGATACCGAGGATCAGTGGCGTACATTCAAATTTGATCTGGGGGAGGGTTGAATAAAAATAACCAACACTAAAACCTTCTCTTTAAAACTACCTATTTTCCTAACAATCAAACACATTACACATTTTTGGTCCTGGGGGTTTGAACCCGAACCCCCCTCCCCGTATGTACGCCACTGCCGAGGATGGGAGCCGGCCACTGTTTTAGATAAGAAGTTGGGAAGGTAGGACACATAAAGTTATTTCATTTATATCTGTAAACAATGATAAACCGCTGCTTGACGAAAGACGATTCCGAGCGCAGTTCGGTAATACATAATTTGAAGTGCCGTATTTTTTGTGGCGATTTTCGTTTAAATTTGATTTCAAAACACGGTATCTAAATTAGAGAGTATTTTACAATTCGAAGGGGGAGGGGTTTAATCGAAAAACCTCCCCATCATTCGGCACTTGATGTACGCACGTAAATTAATCTAACTCTACATAAACCTAATACCAATAATATTCTATTCCCGGATAATATTATATTACGGTTGTGGGATTGTCATGGAGATACTTTTTTTTCAAATGTAGGTAGGTAGGCGGGTACTAATTTTGATACAATTATACGCGCGCATATAATATATTATCAATATTATATATAGATATTATAGATACTATACCGCGATACTATAACGAGTGTTTTTTTTTTTTTTATGTCTATATGTTTAACAAAATAACCCCGTCCACAGTCAAAATATTACCCATTCGGTCCCAGAGTCCGCAAGCGCACCGATTATACCTACGCCATCACTGTCTCGAGAAACCGGCGAGTCGGGAGTCCCCCGTCGAACGACGCCCGTATACCGCGGTCACACCCACAACAGGCTCCAGTATACGGCGTTGAACAGGATGAACGACGCCGGAAATATAATTCGGCTCTTCTCGTCAATCCAGATGGATATCTGTTGGGCCGTGGTCGTCAGGCCGCCGTGCATCTGGCGAGCCGATTCCTCGGACACTTTGAACTTGACCTTGCCCATGGCTTTCATTTCCATCGTGTACGGCAGTTCCGCGTTCAGTTCCGTGGCGCCCTGGAAATATATACCATTGTATATACTGAGGGTACGTGTAACGTCGGCGGGGAATATACATTTTAGAAAACAATACACTTAGTATCTAAGTGACGAGAGGAATTCGCAAGTTCTTCAACCTTTAAAAGTTATCCAAAAGCAGCGGTTAAACATACCGAGGTGAACGGGCAATTCGTGTTGCACCGCCGATAAAAAAAAAAAACTGTTGTACTCCTTCGGTCGGAAATCCGAGACTCACCGAAGAAATACCTACCAAATATAAAATGTATCGATACATAATATACACTTGGGCATTTGGAGTGCGAATAGTTGAATACTTTTACAAATTGTACGCCGTCGACAACTAGCTCCAATATACATACCTACATCTGATCGAAATGGTTCGCGTTTTCAATAGGTACTCGATCCGATAGATACGGACGAGTATCTTAACGATGTGTAAAACGCCCCGATTACAGTTTTACACGGCTGTTGGAAAATCTACACTCCCAGTTTTTATAATGATAAATGCATCGAAAATGCAATAATATTATATACCTACGAGAACTGACATCTATAATAAATGTATGTAACCTCGTCAATATATTCACACTCCTAAATAAATATTATTTACGCAATACAATACAGTATGGTGCACACCCCTTAAAAAGTGATTGCGGGAATAATATTATTTGTTCATATCTACCCGTATTTTATTGTATCCAAAACTTTGTGTAAATTAAAGAAACGAAAATAACCGTAACCGGTACTTGACATTTGTAAAAATTTTTTTGATAATCAAAAGTTTGTCTGTAATGGTTTTGAGTTAATCGGTGGTCAAAAATTTAATTATCATTCTTTATGGTTATTGTACATATTATTTAGATTTAAAAAAAGAATAAGTATAACTATTGTACACTTATTTAATAAGAGTGTATATAATATGCAAATTATTACTTATACCCTTTAAATATTCATAAATATACCAAATAAAATGGTATCTATAAAATTTGTGTGATTTGTAAAGTCCGCGTTTCAAACCCTTATGCTAGTGCATGCAATCAGTATGGAAATACATAGAAATCCAGTCTCTTTTACTTAAAACTTTAAATTGTCATTAATTTCAAATGTCATCTTTTCAATTCCAAATTCAAAAAGCATGTTAAATTTTGTTTAGAAGTATTAATCTTCAAATTATAACAATAATAAATTATAGAATATATTTACTAAGCGTATATTATTAATTATTATATAGGTACTTTACATTACAGTTCAGTCTGTTTAACCCGTTCAGGAACGAACCGCTCGATGCAGTAACGGAGACAGCATGTACATTTTTCGCCTTAGATATTTTACTCGCTTTGATCGAAGACTTGAACATATGTTTGTTGGATTTACTTTTCAATTTTACTGGATGACACCTAAAATAAAATAAAAAACTGAAAATCCTATTGTTAGTCTCATTACGCTTATGGACTTTATGGTGATAGTGATCATGATTAGGTTAGTTAGGTAATTACATAAATAAAAACTTAAATTTATAAGAGAATTTTTGATGGGAAAAAATATTGTGTATGGTGAATGATTATGATGTTTAGATGGTTATAAATGTTACATAGGAAAAATCTGATACTGCTGATGGGTGCCACTGTTGTAGGTGAAAAGTTGACTAAGGTAGGATACATAAAGTTATTTAATTTATAGTACCTACAAACAACAATAAATCATTGCTAATAAAATATAATTCTGAGTGAAGTTCAACTAAACATGTTTGGAAAATATGCCAGTAAGCCAGGTTCAATTATAAAACTAACTAGGTACTACAATGACCACTAAGTAAAATTTATAATAAACCTTGTGTACAATTTTAAAGGATTCCTGATTAAATTATCTACATAAATTCAAATGTAAACATTTTTAGTTACTAATTATATTTAACCAAATTGTAAAAAAAAAAAAAATCAAAAATAATGAACCGGTAATGTTTTAAACTTTCCCATTTATTAAGAAAACTATACGGGAAATTAAAAAACGACTTACTTTCACACAAACTTGATAACATTTTTTTCATAAAAGATTCTACTCTTGAAATTTGGAGCAACATTTCTGGTAGAAAAATAAAATTGAAAAAATTGAAAATAATGAAAATTTTCATATATTTTTAAAATATTCCTATTTGTTTTTCAGTTTTTCCCAAAAATTATGAAACTACTTGGAAAATCAAAAAAAAAAAACATCTCAATGCTCCAATTGGATTCAAAATGCTAAAAGTAAACTTCTTGTAGTTTTTTGATCGGATCATGATTTCTGTTAGAAAGTTGTTTGCAAATAGAAAAAAAATAAGCACATATCATTCGCTCCGCTCAGAATCTAAAAAAAATTTTCTGAACTTTCATAACATATAGTGTTTTAAAAAGCCAGACTTTAATCAACACATGTCAGACATCTGACAAATTCAATAACTTTTGTTTTTATGTATATTATTAGATACCTATATTACTTATGAGTTATAGTAATCTGTAGTCAACTCACCCGTATCGCCATATAGTGTTGACAAAAGCGAATTCTGCCAACGATAGAAATATGAACGCAGTGCATACAATAAACCACAGGTCATTAGATCTGATGTAGGATACGTTGGGCAGCTTAGAACCAGTCTCGATACCCAACTGGAAGTATGTGAGCATCGTGCTCGCACCTGAGAATTTTTCTAAATTTTAGAACATAATCAAAACACTGCGCTTCTTTTATTTGGTTAGCATTAATGCGCTGGTATTTGATTTTTTTTTTAATTTACCGATTGCTACACGCGCAGGCGTTGCGTCCGGTGCCATCCAAAACGACACCCACGAAATCGTAACCAACAATATCCCCGGGACATAATAGTCCATGAGGTAGAACCCGTATTCCCTGGCCAGTAGAAATGTTAACGTTAACGATGTATAACGGTAAGCTGTAACGAGACAAAATGTATAGGTTAGGTAAGATTTAAGATCCAAAACCTTAAAAATGAAAAAGAATTAATATTGTTATACGTAGGAATTTTATACGGGTTACTTGAGAAATCACTATATTTACTAATACAATTTATAATTGTATTATGAATTAAAATATAGATACCAACTGAAAACATTTTAAGTTATCACCAAGTTTAAAAAGCAACAAAAAAAAGTTTTGAAGTCACTATAATTTCATAATACACAATTATTTGTTAAGATACTGACTAGAAGTCGGGTCCAGGGAAATTGGTTCGATGTAGTGTTCGGAACTGTGTGGTATAATTTTCAACAACTTATATTCCGTCAAATAGGGCACCCAAGAGTTGTCACTCAAAGCCGCTGTGACCGGCGTTTTGACTTCCCATTCGAGCACCAGCTGGGTGGTGTCGTACCTCCCTGTAACATATTATACAACTTAGGACATATTTAGTTCATATGGGCATTTGTATTAAATAACGCCACTTTCGCTAATCAAAAATGTAAAAAGAAAAAGATGATTTTCACAATATATTTCTGTAATTTTTAAACAGGTAATTTAATTACTTAAATTATTATTTTTAACTGTTACTTTAATAAAATTATTATTCACACAATTTTATATTTTTTTTTTTAATGTATAAGTAGACGTGTTGTCACTACTTCAAAATATCTAGTAGCGCCGCTGACTGTGTAAACGTTCAGTAAGCACACGCTTTATTTGCAGTCCTATACAGTATAGGCTATACTAAATATTTTATATCATAAAATCAAGCCAACTAAAGTTAGTAAACTGTAACAGTGGGTCATACTTACAGCTTTCCATAATGAAGTGACATTGTTGGCGGTCAAACGGGAATCTGCCCAACTTCACCCAGCAGAAAACGGACGTTTTCAACCTACAACCGGTATACACAGATACCACATACACTGTTAACGAAACATAAATGTGTGAAGAAAAACCCAACAACGCCGCACCTGGCCGACAATATCACGTTTCCGTCCGGCAACACGTTGACCACAGTGTCTTCGGTCAAGTCAGCTACCGTCAGCGAGTGTTTCTCGTTGGTAATATACACGTTCGGTATCCATATCCGCTCCAATAATCCGTTTTGGCACACCACTTCGGGCGTGTTCGGCGGACCGATATTGTCCAACGCTAACCGATCGTCCGTCCATCGGAATTGTAACAGTATGCGAACTTTGAAGTCCTGAAATCCGATATATAAAATGTTATTAAGTTAACATTAGTAATACGTGTTTATTGTAATGTACATATATGTTCTGTATCACGTAATTCTGTTTTAAGAGATATCTAGAAAACGTCCAATTAAACGGTGGTTGGATGGGGTAAAACAAGACCTGAACAAATAAGATGTAGTGAATTGACAACAGATTTACATCCATGTGATTGATTATTAAAATTGATCATTAAATTGATAAATAAACAAAGAGAGTGTACATAATCGCTAAGATTGGAAGGCATACAAGTCTTGAATAATTGTGATACCACGAAGAAGAAAAATTAATTTTAAAAAGTCTAGAATATTCTTAAAAATATAAGAAGGTATAAGAATATACTGCGATCCTGCACGGTATTGTTTAAGACAATTTAAATAATAAAAATGATAAATATTATACTCAATTAAATTTGATTTGTCTTTATATAGCTGAATGGAGAGTTTCACTACAGCCTTGCCCGTGACAAAGTAAATGACCATGGATGTGATTTAGAGGTTGAATTCTAGGATAAAAAGGAACAGACAATAAATGGTTATTATTTTCTCCCCGAGAATCTTTAAATAATGGTGAAACCCACATCAAAATTAGTTCAGTAGGTAATTTGGTATAGCTATCAATATTTATGCCAACATCCCTCATTTTATTCTTTCCGATTTCCTTCCTAATGCCCCCGTGTTCCGTTGCCCTCTTTCAGCAAACTCTCGACCCTTTTCTATTTTTGTAAAAACAGTTGTTATTATTTGTATATTTTAATGCTATCTTGTTCATCTAACCTGTGTTGATTTGACCTCATCCGTCTGTGTAAAAATAAAAACATAGAAACAAACGTTTTCTCTTTATACGTATATTATATAGTAAAATATCAGAATACTACCATTTCAATGATGGTGTGAATGGCTGTCCTATGAAGCGGCTGCTTCATGACTAGGGAACAGATTTATGAATTCACAAAAAAAGCACTTAAATTGTCAAAAAAGTATATAACTATTTAAAAAAAGAAAATATGAAGAGGGGTTTAAAATCCCTCTTTAACGATTTTAACCGTATTAAATAAAATATTTTAAAACTGACAAATGATTAGGTAACACAAAGCATTTTTATTTTTCATTAATTTTTTATTAGTTAGAATTAAGGCACTATCAGTATCTATAGTTTTCTAGTTAGAACTGTTAGAGGGAAGAACTTTTAAACCCCTCCACCGTTATTGCTTTTTAAATAATGTTAAGGTGATTTTTTAGGGCTCTTTTGTTGGTTTTAAGAGCATATAAATCCGTTCCCTATTCATGAACAAATTAAGTAATTGGGTGGGTGTATGTGTGGCACATTATCATTAGATATGTGAATGTGAAAGGTGAAGTGTACTAAACGGTATCGGTACAAAAACGTATAGTCTATCTTAACTACAGTTCCTGGTTCTTCTCGGCTTTGGTTGTATGCGATTTTTCAATTTTACTAAAACTGCTTCATAGAAAAAAACCTTCACACCATCATTACTATTATTATTAATATTAGCTACAATTAAACGAAGTTACGCAAAAAAAAAAAAAACATTAACAATAAAAAAATTAAAATCCACTTTTTATCACTTGATATAACACTAATACTTGCCAGATTTCGTGGATAAACGGAAGTCAAATGGTACACATGGATTCTGGTGTACACGATGATTGGACTGTTTACCGCGAGATCCCCGGGTGCCATAGTTTTATCATATCGACAAGGATCGGATAACCAACGAAGAATTTTCTCCGGCGACGTTTCATCGTCTTCGTACACGGTCTCGCAAGTTTTGTTTCGCCTACGTACAAATACCAATAAAAAAATTAATGTCCACACATATAGATATATTTATGCGTTTTTATCGAATTTTCCCATAATATGGAGACCACTTATATATTGCACTGTATCGTGTGTGTCTGTTATATACAAGGTATTCCCGAAAAAAGTGACCAACTTTATGGGTTGTTACTCTATATGTGGTTATAGTTTATAAGAATAAATTGTTTGGAATTTCTTTTTTAATGTCCAAACTATGATTTTACAGGTTTTATTTGTAATATATCCATAACAAATTATTTTTTATTTTTTTGTTTAGATTATTTTTAGAAAAAATCGAATGACCCCTTATTTTGTAACATAATTTTGCAAGAAATTCTTTGGTTGGTAGGTATAGTTTATTTTACTCGGTAGAGTTGGCCATTCTTTTCTAGAACACTCCGCACCCTTGTATTTTGTATATTTGCTATAAGCTTTTCATAATGTAATTAATTAAGTACAGATAGTACAGTGTAGTTGTAATCTTCTCCTTTGCCACCCTCTTTCTAAATTTTCACTTGATCCGTTCTCCTACCTCGCATACACCGGCTGTCCTCATATCATTATCAATCACATTCAAGCACTAGTTTTTCAGTCTTCCTCTTACGTTTACTTTCATTATAATGCTTACTGTTTTAAATTCTTCTCTCCACGTAATATGCCCAAACCATCTCCGTCAATTTTTCTCTACTATCAAAGCCATGCCTGTGTAGAAATGATGCATTGTGGTTTATCATCAAACTATGAAACATTTAAAACATAAGGTCGTTGACGTGCTAGTAGCTTTCACGATTCGAATATTAGGGTTATCTTGCCAAAAATTCGATTTCATTATGTTATGAAGATTAAATAAGTCCTGTAAATTGACATTGGCTTAGCTTCGTGTACTCGATAAGTAAATCGTTCAAGAAGCCTGGGAACATAATCTTACCACTAATAAGACTTTGGATACATTTTATATCGAACTTATGACGTCTAGCTGTCAAACAACAGATTATTGATTTGACAATAATCATGTTATTGATAAGGGATTTTTACTAAATATCCAACAAACCCCATAAACGGTTTTTGACCCGGTCAACCTTCACTATATCGACAATGACTCTAGTTCTTTATATTTATTATAATTAAAAATGTATTATTTACTGTTATTGAAGTTACAATATTGCTACTTTTTTTATCAGGAAAATACAGCATACACATTAATTACCAACTAGATTGTTTTTAACTTACAGAATCGAAATTAGGCTTAAAATCTGTTCCACTATGTATTCTATCATTTAAAAAAAAAAAAATATATGACGATTTGGATAAGTAGCTCTAGAGCCGATCTATTATAAAGATTCTCATTTTCACTTTTATATAATATAAAATAAAGGAAGGTATATAATTTCTCTTCTATTTTTAGACACTTCTAGACCTTTTGGTCCTCAAATAATACTAAAATTATTACAAATATAAAAACTATTTTACATCATTATAGTCATGATTATTCTTAAAACAGATTGGTACCTAATTATTTTCATTTATTGTACAATATCATGTTTTTGTTAGTAAAAAAGAATTTGTACAGTATTTTAATTAAGGATTTCGAATTTTGACTAAAATAGTAAGTAGGTATTAGGGCATTAGGTACAAATATACCTACCTAATATTAGTGACGTTCGCTGTGGTACAGTGGAACATACCTAACAATAAATGTTGAGACAGTTGAGTACAAAGTGAAAAGTATACATATTATTATTATAATAAGTGTATTTATTTCAAACGTGGATTTACCTATGCAAAATGAAATAAGTACCTAACAGATAAACGTATATTGTTCTTAACATTCATTACTTTTTTGTTATACGGAAGGCGGCGTTAACGAGAACACGTTGTTCTACCGCAGTTTTATCTCTGCAGCACAAAAGAAAACTGTACCTAACCAAAAATCAGAATGCTAATATTATACTCTAAAACTAAAACGTATTCATTGGCTCATTGTAGCGATTCTTTCCGTGGAAATTTGAAAACAATATACGATTGTATTTTTATGTTTGTTTTGACCACCCACTGAAATTGTATTATCTAAATATAAAAAAATGTCTTCAAAACTAAATATTTCTTTCAGCGTATCCTACCTGTATTATACTATATTATAGAGTATGGGCCAACGGTTTTCAATCATTTCAGTCGGACAGATGCCCTTTTTGCAGGGGCGAATCCAGGACACGATAACGGGAGGAGGTGGGGCGATTTTGAAAATACACATTATAAAGCATGCATTTATGACGAGCTCAATGAAGAATCAAGCCCAGAGAATAATAGGTAGGCTAGGGTGGGCTACTATAGTACAATGGCGTCATTACGGTTTTTGAGAAGAGTGAGCAAAAGTTTTGACCGGACCATAATAAAAATGGAAATGGAACGCACGCTCTGCTAGCTAATTTATCCGTCACAATTACATTTTCATCTCAATACAAATATCCTTATTACATTATTTTATATTTACTATCATACACATGAATAACCCATTTTTTTGAGGGACAAAAATGACTAAATAAATATATATACCATATATGTAGAGAGATATACCTAAGTATATAACCTATTTGGACCAATATGTATGGAGTATACATATATATTTTGTAAATAATTTACAAAAAATATAACCATTTTGATTTGTTTTATTTTATATTTAATTTAATTTTTTTTATACACATAGGTAAGCTTTTTTTTAAAGTTTAAACACTACTTTTTAAAAAGTATAATTCTATAACAAAATATTATTATTAAATAATTAGGTAGGTACTCAATAGGTACAAACAGATAGTCCATAATTTTGGATTTAAGTGAAAAATTAAAAGAAAAAAAAAAAAGAGATTCTGAAAATATTAAACCTGCAATAACTAGTGAATTCGTTTGATAACTGTAAATTGATATACCTACCTAATATCATTATAACAGGTACCTACCTAAAAAGATTAGGTAAATGTATACATAATATATTATGTTTGTTGTAATACAAATCAAAAACATTATGTTTATAATATAATGAACCATGTTTAACTAGTATATCATTTAAATATTAACATTTGAATAATCAAAAATATTATTCAGCCAATACATGATAAACATATTATTCAGAATAATAATAATTTTTTTAAGAGACTTCTATAATGAATAAAACTCATAACTTTTATTATAGTCTACATAGGTATCAAGATTGTACCAAAAAGATAAAAACTAGATGTTATCAAATATCAATAAATACCTCAACATAAATCAGATTGTTTTGCTAATATAAAAATTCTGTGGAAATTCTAGGTATATACAATTATTTTTAATGGATTATATCAATAACGAAATTGAATACTACAAAAACCCATCATTATTTATTATATTTTTACTGCACTGATGAGAGTTTTTTTTAAAAATGAATTAATTCAAGTTCAAGACATTAAATATGAACTAGTCCAATTGCATTAAATTAAAATAAAAGCAAATTATGTATAGATAATGTATGTACATATACATATAATATTGTTATTTATTTGAATAACTCTGTAGGTACTCGGTAATCAATATAATTGAGTATAATAACTCATATCATTCTAAGTCACAGTTCTCAAATCTCATTGGAATTCTCTTGTCGCATAAAACATCAGATGCTTTTCTCCACTTTATCCAACAACACCTTGAAAGTATGCCGATCCGTTCCCACAAATAATATTATTATAAATTAATATTGTCAACTATACGGTGAATTTCTCCAGGCTACAGACACAATGCCATATGCCTACTAAAATCACCCATTTGGGCTTTCCAAGTAGGAGAATACTAACTACTTAATACTATACCAAGATAGTTATAATAAATTAAAAACTTATAAATGTTAAATCCTGATTCATGTTATTATCTTTTATCTATTTGTAGATTTTTCTATTCTATTTTTTACAATACATTGAACAGCACTTGCTATTTTAGTTTTTATATGCCTAGTAAGTAAATAATAATCCAATGTATGAAATTCAAATTTTGTTCTCCAATTTTTTAATTAAATATTAGTAATAAGTTACTCATATTGTTATTACTAATATTACTATAATCTATGAAAGTTAACTCGTCTACGAACTAGAACGAACCAAAAATGTTCACATTCATACATACTCGAGTATATACCCTATACGAACTTAGTTTATGTTTTTTCCTCATCACTTCCTCATCCTTTATCAGTAATACTAAAATAGAATATATTAAAATCAATGGTTACCTATACCAATGGTCAACGAATATAGATAAATAGGTAGTACCTATATTCTATTATATACTTAATAAATGAAAATACTATAATGTATACTTGTATTGAATAAATAACTGCAATAAGTAAGTATTTGATAAAATACATACATAGGTACGACCCGTAATATGGGGTAGGAGGCTATAGTCCCTTATGCTTCCAAAAATACATCACTGCCCATTGACATTCATCAAAAACAAATTATTTCAAAATACTAAATAAAATTAAAAATTGTAATAATTATGTTCAGTTTCATTTGATAATATTAAATTGAACGAATGTGTCGATGGGCACCTAAATATGACTAAGTACAGCTAATAAAAAATAAAAGTTAAAACATATCAACCACATTAAAAATGACGAGTACTTTTTACCAATCCATTAATATCCAATTATGTATATCTATCAATTCATTTTTTACGAATCCGAGTCGCATGTGTTATACAAATCATATGACCTAGTCACATAGGTACCTATTGCGTACCTACAACTTAAAATGCACAAATACAATAATCAGATATATCTGTTTAATAGCTGTAGGTACCTATTATAACCTATAAAAACACGAAAAATGACATTAATACTTTTTGGATCAGCAGTTTTCGACTACGAATCATTACAAGTTATATTATATACCGACACATATACAATATATTATGTAGGTGGGTATAAGTATAGTGAAGTAGTGGAGTTTATTTCCTACTCACAATTTTCGATTGATGACAATATTCGCCTTTGACGTTTTAAAATTGGGTAAGCACGTTAGGTTAATAGCACCGTGTGTGGATTTGGTTAGATATACCTACCTAGGTAGAGGTGGGTACGTTCGACATTTTTTCAATTAGCGTCAGTTTTTTTCCAAAATAAAAAAAAAACTGAACCATTAACAGAATAGATCAACTAGGTACGGGAAAAAAAAAAATTCAAATAAACTCTTACTTGGTTGACTGTACCGGTAGCACTACGACAAACAATAAAACACAAACAAAAAAGCACGACTTTATGTAAAACATGTTCCGCGCGAATGCAAACACCATACGTGTAATATTCACGTCGTTATTATCGTGCGTGTATACCTACCTACACCTAATTTTAATTTTCAATAATATAATATGATGTGTTTTCATGGCCGCCGACAATGCATACACCTAGCAATCAGATGTTCGGTTTTGGTTCGCGCGCGCAGAGGGGAAAAACAAAATAAGTACACCTATATAATAACTATAGGTATCGCATTTATAACTTGTAAGCAAGTCAACCGAATTGTTCAACCGGTTCTAAGTTAAGTTATCCTGTGGAAAAAAATTAAATAAATAGGTAACAGCTAAGATTGAATTAATTTTAAAACATACCAATGAAATTGAGTACCTACCTACCTAACTTACCCGAATTACAAAAAAAAAACTAAGTACATTTTTGGGACTTCAGGATCTGTAAAAGAACGTATTGGAATTTCGTTAATTTTTTTTAAATTTACCTACCTCACCTGTATAAAATAAAATAGGACTAATATCAATAATATACAATATAATATATTACAACATTGACAATATGCCAACTCCAGCTGAACGAAGAAGAATATTAAATTTAAAATTTATTCGCGGTTTGATATCTAACCAAATTGATTCGCCGTCCTTTCTATTCCAAATCAATTTTAAATTTCCTTCCCATACATCTCGTTTTCAAAGAACCTTCCACATTCCTAGCGCCAACTCGAATTATTTACAAAATAAGTCGCCAAGACGCACAATGTCACTTGCCAATGAACACCCCTAATATTTTGATGTTGGTTTGTTTTATGTTTAGTTGTATCGATATATGTGCTTTTGTAATTTATATTTATTGTTTAAGAATGTCTACATAATGCCTGTAATGTACTATTATATTCGTTGTTGTACTGTTACTTGTAAAAGACGTAACCCGTATACTTATAAAAATAAATGAAATAAAATATTTACAATATATATATAATTTAGTACCCTATCATGAAAATGATTAACGCTTTGAATTCAAAAATTACCTACATATTTTGTTTTTCATCATAATAAAATGTTTCGAAAATCTATAAATATATATATAAAATCCAAATACCACCGATTCACTGATCGCTGTGTCTCAAAAACTACTCAACGCACTTGAAATTTGGAATAGTGGTTCCTCTAATACTTTCACAGCGCAATAAGACATTTTTTTTTGAAAATTCAACCCCTAAGGGGGTAAAATAGGGGTCTTTAGGTATATTTAATTGCTTATTTATTTTATTTACCTTAGTGTTACACGGACAAGAAAATTATTATATTCATGAGGATGAGGGCAACTGCTCCACAAATTTAGTGTGAGTAGGCAATTATATTCCTATAGGTGTAACTGCGAAAGGACAAATGAAAATATTTATAATAATTATATGATCCATTCCGTTCCATAATGTGAGTAACTTGGTTGGTTAAGTAAATAACTTTATCCTAATTAGATAAACCTAATCTAATGTAATTTTCATAAAAGTAGGTAGGCGCTGGCATAATGATGTTACCTAATATTTAGCATTTCAGGATGTATCTATAGTGTATAATACCCATGTGGTTGACATTCATAATATACCTAGGCTCATAAAATATTATATTAATGTTTTATTATTTATCATTTTAAATTTATTAGATAATAAGTTGATTAAATAAAGGTGTGCGGGTAATTGTTTGCAACAGGTTTCAATAATGGGTAATATTGGGTGGGTGGTCTTTGATGATTCTTGCGATACGTTTAATTTTGTACTTCAGCGCCATTACCAATTATAAGTAGGTAGTTGTATAAAATACAGAACAAACATACAAGTATACACATTTTCCTACATCAAAAATATTTTTAAAAATAACCATCAACTTGCACACACACAAATATATTGAATTAAGATGTATACTATATCTATATTTAAAATTAATTTTTCCAGCTTTATTATGAGCTGAATGTCATTTCAAAACACTATGTTTGTCTATAGTATTAGTTAAATACTTTTCTAAACAAAATAATTAAACATTTACAAATCGCTCTTGCGTCATTGTTGAGCGTAGCCAATTTTTACAAGCCGCATCATAGATAACACTCAAAAGTTGTACTATTAATAGGGATGGTGTATGCTTAGGTTTATGTCTATGTTTATCAATTTATACTTGCTTGGAACTGTTAGGAAGGTTACAATTTATGACATTTCTGGAGCATTTTGATATCAATAGATTATTTTTTAACATTTTGTGCTAAGTATCAGCATTTTACTTTCCACATCAATATTCAATGAACTCTATAAACATAAAAAGTAGGTATTACCATTTTATTTACTAACAGTTTCTAGAATAACTACTTTACTTACTTTATAAAGATTTATAAATGTAAAATTTTTTGAATAGTTTAACTTCAAGCAAATGTCAACATTATTATACAAGTTCACACATTCTTTTGAAAACCTTTTGTTTAAGATACATTATTGCAGTGTGTACGATAATATGTAACGACATCAGCGTAGACATGCAAACGGAGGGTGCCGGGTGTGCCTGGGTACCCCAGACATTTAGTAATTGGGGCCATAAAATATAAGTCCCAGAGCATAGGGACTGTAGCTCGACTCATGTTACTGGAATAAAATGTAATGCATTCTAATATATCTGGTAAAATTAAATCATGTTTTGTGACAAAAAATAAATAAATAAAATGTAAAATATTTTAAATTTGCTTGGCAAAACTTATTATGATTATAATAGCTAGACGTTATACATAATTATATAGAAATATAGAATACAATCAAATAAGATACTGAACATTAGAAAAAACGGCTAAAGAAATAGGAATTACTCTCCTAACATTAAAGTCTTGTTCAATTATACAATGGACGTGTCGTATAAAATTTTCAAACGGTTCCAAACGAAGAAGCCGAACCATACGCGTTGGAGGTCAGATAACGTGTAGTCACACACAATCCGTTCGTTTTTCGCGTGGTCTGTTTGCACGTTTGAGTTTTTCGCGGGGACGTTGCGCGGCACTGTTGGTCAATAAGCGCCCGAAAGGGTCGAAAACCGTCGCGGACGTGGTTTGCGCGGTTAGAAAACAACGCTTTCAACCTGTTGTGGCCGAATAGGAATAGTAAACAAATTATTGCCGGGGAGGAAATACGGCGAATGGTACAGCAATGAACAACATCAAACGGAGACATTGTTTTTAACCGGAGTTTCACGACGGTGTCATTGTTTTTCAGTGGTTACATTACCCGAGCCTAATAGATAACAGTCAGATAAGAACGCAATGATATATTAGGTAACAATTTAACGACAAATATATTCCGTAAACATTGAATATCAATGTTATTTTTATTAGGCACCATTTAACACTGTAATAGTTGATAAACGCGCGGTTATCCGGTCAGTAATTAACTGCAAATATGATGCGGTTTACTATAAATAATGAGATTAATTTCGTTTCTAATGCTGGCCAAACTAATCACGGAGAGATAAATGTAGGCAAAGGAAAATGTATGCATAAATTTATGTATTACCATTAGTTTCTCGGTTTCAAAAATTACACGCTTAAACAAACATTGGAAATATACTTCTGATGATAATTTTTTATCTAATTTGATTCAAGGTTCGTTGTGGAATGATAAATTAAAATCGCATCTAAACAATATTGTTGTACCAGATTTTGTGTACATAGATAATTTAGAAATGAATAATCCATTGGGTTCAAACGCAAACTTCCAGTCTACTTCTTAGAAAAAATAATTCAAAACTTTCGAATATATTTTTGGCTGCTTTAATTAAAGCCGGAGATTTAAAACAATTTGGCAACGATCCGTTTTTTAGCAATTCAGTTTGATGAATTAAATTGTCGAGACGGCATTTCTGTAAATACCTCGTGTGGTACAAAAAATGTGCATTTTACGTCGGGTTGAGTTATTGGTGATAATTCGGCATTCTTTTAGCCTTGCATTTTGAGCATTAATTGCATTTGCGATTTTAGCAAATCTTTTTCAGCCAATTATTTCTGTAGACATTTGCAAAAATAATAAATCGGTTACCAAACATTCATAATTACAATACAGATGTTTAAATGAACAACTTTCAATTAACACGTGTTAACACAGAATGCGTTTTAAATGAAATTAACACGTTTCACGTCACGACAAAACTACCGTGTCGACATAGTAGCCCCCTCCTCCCTAATATTTGACCGGAATCTCAGCCTACGGACAAGAAGCGTGACGACGACCGTTATAGGTACAGCCTCGCGTCCGTCCGTTCGTCTGCGTCACTCCGTGTGGACCGACCGTACGGGGAACACATCCCACGCGAACTTTGTGCTTCGAACGCGCACAACCGAACACACCTTGACCTCGCGCGTCGCGTCCACCGTCGCGAAAAAACATTCGCACCGAAAACGCATCTGGACTTCAATTATTGTTATTTTCGTTTTCCGCCAGATATTCACGATTAGTCGGAAACCGTACACCACGCGGCACGGTGCGGGGCGCATACGGACACACCGCGGCGCGACCGTGCACAAAACGTACGACGCGAGTTCCGAAAATGGGGGCGACCTCCGGCCGTCGTAACAGCCGATATCGGATATTGCGGGAAAACGTCTCGATACACAATATTTATGTGGGCGACGTCGAGACGCGCGCACGGGCAACCTCCGGCCAGCGTCCCCGGGACCGCGGACGGGCGCGGGCCCGCCCGTTGACGCGCCGCGGGACAATTGAGCGAAACCGTTGGTTCGTCACGTGAACCGTGCGATTAGACACGTTTTGATAACGATAACCGTACGACCGGAAAATTCGCGTAGCGGCGCGCGCTCAAAACGTACCCCGGGACCTACGCGGATAAACACGAACCGACGGAACGGTACCGCCGTACCGGGGGGGGGGGGCGGGCGCGCGGCGGGAAAAAAAACGAAACTTTCGAGACGGCCGCGAGCGCGGGAGCCGGCGGTCCGACGGTCACCGACCGAAATGACGAGCGGCGAACGTCGTCGGCCGCAGCCCGTGCGCGTTGCGTCCATAGAAGCGGTACGGTAGCGCCGCGGGCGCGGGACGGGGTGCGCCGGTGCGATCAGTTTTTACCGGTACCAACTTCCGCGTTTTTACAAACTATTGTGTACACGCAGACCGCGTCACCGCGATGACCTATTACGTCCGACCGGTCGGCGGCGTCGTCCGCGGCGCGCGACAAACTCGGACGACTGTAAGTGCGTTGTACGCATGATACCGCGTGCACTAAATGCTCGTCGGTGCTCGCTCGACTGTACTCGAGGCGGCCGACTTTTTTAAAAAACGAATCGCCTACCTACCCGCCGGCCAACGTGCAGGTGTTTTTCGTGACAATTCGCTACAGCCGTTTTGAGATACTCGCGAACGACCCGGCGGCCCGCCGTCGCCAAAAAGTGTTCGACAACTCTATTACGCCGGGCAACTCCGGTATTTCATCCAATTGTTGTATGCGCGTAAACAATTGAAACGGAAAAGCCGAGGGCGGACCGATGATTAAGCAGGCAGGCGCGTTTTGTTTAACATCTACCGACGTTACATCTGATTAGACCGGACAAGGAGAATTTTTAGCCAAGTAACGAAAATAGTAACAATTCGAGAATCGCCTGCGATAAATATCACGGGCGCCGAAAACAGGAGCAATGAAGGGGCTGTATCCGCGTTGGCCCATTGTTGTGATTAACAAAGGAAGAAAATAAAACTGTCTGACCGAGGAGTTGGTCCGGGTAGTAAATATAGGGAGACGTGTGTGTAACCGGTGTCACCCGGTCAGTCGATATTTTATATTTGATAACGTACAATTATTGTTTTGTTAGGTACATCATATTAGATTTAAATGTTAAATCAAATGACTTACTTATGTCTAATCATATCTATTTTTTTTTTTTGATTTTCCCAGAATTTTTCTCTCTGTTTTTTTTCTTGTAAACGACTATTCTGTAAGCAATTTTGCGTCGATTTATAACGATAGCATTTTTTCTGAAGGAAATCAGATAGGGAAGGTACTGTAGGGCCATTTTTCGATTTTCTCAAGTTTTCCAAGCAAATGTGAATAACCAGGAAAAACATGGGAAAACCCGGAAAAACATAGGAAAATCGATACATTAAAAAAATATTAAAGCAAATATAGAATGCCCATTTAATTATTTTACCATATTATGGCATATATATTGTTGACAGAGTATCACTGTCAACTAAACTCCGCTCAGAATAGTTTTTTCGTGAGCAATCGTTTATCGTTGCTTATAGGTATACATTAAATTAATTGTAACAGTGGCTGCATCCGACCCTATTATCCTAGAACGTCTTTTGTTAACTACAAATGTTAACTTTAAAATTAATGTGACTTTCACCACTATGGATTTAATTCCTCCACTCCTCATTTAAACAACATTGCCAAAAGTGTTTTATTTTTTCCGAATTAAAACTACATTTGACAATATTCAAATCGATAACTGCAGTTAAAGCAGAATGTTGAATTGATATAGATATCGTTACTATAATAATAGTTTTAAAATATTTTATTAAACATTTTTGATAAGAAATTAGAGTATTATAGATTTCGAAATTTATCAAATAAATACATAACAATTGCGTATTTATTATTGTCGTCGTTAAATTTTACATTTAACGACATTTTACATTATTTTTCTATTTGGTGGTGGAAAATGAGACGAGACGGCTCCGTGAATTTAAAATTTGATTTACTGCATGACAAAATTCCATATACTAATTATTTACATGTTAAATATTGGAACGGATAAAAGACAATTTCAAAATGGTTAGAGTGGGGCGTGGTGTCTAGTACTTCCCTTCCATGTTATTGCGAAATCGTTTCGTACTTCAAAGTTATAGACAAAAACTAAAACTCAGCCGTATTTGTCGTGAAAAATCGAGGTGATAGTGTGGTAATAAATATGTCGTGTACACCGTAGTGAAACACAATTTGTCCAGATGCATTTTTGTACGGCGGCCAAATCGGTGAGTCTTAACGTATTATATTATTATGCGTTACATGGATTCCAATATGTCTATGGTTACACTCGATAATACGGTTTATACCAGATGTCAGATATGTGCAGGAAAGTAACCCGATGTTTAAAATGCCAAAAATAGAGTTTAAAAAAAACATACTTCGCACGATGGGTGGACCACTATCGTAGATGAAAAATTAGATAAGCAGGATATAAAGGGGAACTTAATGTTTATCTGTATGCAAAGATTAATTATTGCTAACCAAAACGATTCTGATCAGTTCGGTTACATACATATGCTCAAATGTTTTGAAAATTTACCACGTCAGTCAATTTACCACAAAAGCGAGTATAAATTTTCTGACAAAATGTTAAGTTTCTACGAATACGTTTGGCTGAATTACATTATAAAAATAAAATTTGGAACAATACTTTTTGTAGAAAACATAAGCCGTAAAAATTTAAAATAATGAAATCGCCGTAAATTTGTCAGTTTTCATTTTACGTTTCTTTCCGATTTTTCAGAGAAAATCAAAAAATTATTTTCTTACATACCAACTAGATTAAAAATGCAACAAAAAAGGTCATCTCTTGTTGTCTATTTATTGGAGCAATAAATATGGTAAAAAACATAAGTCGTACAAATTCTAAACAATGAAAACGGTAACGCCGCGGCGCGCCGTAAATATTTGTCGTTTTACCTATAATTGTGTTACTGTTATTCTCGATTATTTCGAAAAGCTCTTAGAAAATCAAAAAATTACCACCTCAAAGTACCAACGACAGAAAATGACCTTTCAGTAAAGATGCTATAGTCCATTACACACACACACACACTGACATACACGTCATAGTAAAACCAATAGATCCCTCGCTATGATTTGATCCCTCCCTAGATATGATTTCTTAAATAAAAACCGTACCTGAATTTGTTTATCAGAGCAAGGTTTTCATAACGGCCTTGACTGGGGCAAATTGCTCTATGAAAAGTACCTACGCATTGGGCGCCACACATTACCGCTCTGCACGATAATTCCTTATCTTCAATCGAATAGGTATTAATTGTTTTCACGCCTATTTTCTATGTACGAGTGTTATAACCACTATAACTAAGAAACTTATAATCGAATATTAACGCATGATACATACAATTTTTTAGCACAATACATTTTATAAAATGACCATTTGAAAAGTTTTAAAAAGTGGAAAAATAAAAAATAATCTTTTTCAGTGATTTATAGGGATGAAAATAAAAATTAAATTTTTCTCTACATATTATGTTACCCTCAGGCAAAACCCGATTAAAAAAAAAAATTATATACAAATAACAGTATTGTTAGAGTTATTGGCATAAGAATAACACTGTAGGACACTCTGTATTTGAATTACATGATTCACAAAAAACAGGTGGTCGTCATGGGTGCCTGGGTGTTTAGAAATATGATGGAAAAACCTTATATTTTTACAAAAAAAGTCATTAAAAGAATTATAGATTTTGGAAATTTGATTAATTTTAAAGAATTTTAACAAATTTGAGGTGGAGGGGGGAGGAGTAGATGAAAAATTAAATTGGTAATTCAAGGTCGGAGCAGCAAATTTGGGCATTTTTATCTATGCCGTATGCAAAATCCACACAACGTTTGGGCACTCAATATTCCTAAAAACATGTTCAGGCATTACAATGAAAAAAGTTTATGGCTTTGTTAAAGAAGTATATGAAATATATATATTATACAAATACAAATGTATATAAAAAAATAAGTTATTTCAGATAAAATTTGTATAATAGTCCAAAATAATAATACACCTAGTTATAAACGTGGCCATTCAAGGTAATTATACTCTTACTAATGCCGCCACTGGTATAATGTATATTTAATATATTTTATTACAATTTGCTTTTGTGTGCATTATCATCTAGCTAGCTATTCTTGGTGTAATTTCTTACCCATGAAGCCATTAACATTTTTTTTTTTTATATATGTTTTGAGTATAAAATAGATAGGTAGGTATACAAAAAGGAAGAAAGGGTGACACTTCCTGTTTAAGCTTCTTATAAGTATTTGACATTTCTGAGTTTTCATGTGGACAAAATTGTTTTAGACAAACCACAAGTTGTAGGTATCTACTTAATAAAAAAAATGAGCGTAATGTTGTAACGTTTTTTTTATAAATGTTCGAAAATCAAATTTTGAGGAAAATAGTTAACATTACAATATTTTAGAACATGTAGAACCAAACTTCGCTCAGAATTATTGACAGAATATATTGTTGTGTAGATATAAAATAAATTTCTTTATGTATTCTACCTCTCAAACTACAATTCACTCTTCTACACGATCACCTTTTTTTTTTCCATTATTTTCATTTTCTGTATCTGCAACAAGATTGGATTAATTCACAGATCAAAAAGTAAAATACAATGAAATTTAAAAACCAAATTTATATTCTCTTAAGATATTAAAATTAAAGGGGGTTTTAAAGCTTTTACCTATTTTAATAGGTAAAAGGTAATAGGTTGTATTTATACAACTTTCTAACAATACAAAATATGATTAACACAAGTTTTTTTTTTTTTATACTTACAATTTTATCTAAAAGAAATTATTTTGCGTTAATCATTTTCATATTTTCGTAGTGTTAAACAAATTTAGTTTAATAAGTAAGAGCTGATAGAGGGGGGGATTTTAGGAGAATATAATTCTGGGCTCTAGATTATTATAGATATACATTTTTGATATTCACATTGCTTTAGGTGGTACTTTGTTTATAATATTAATTTTAATTCATATTCTTGTTGTATGCATTTTAATATTATCCAATGTGCAATAGAATTTGTTCGCTTAAAGAACTACATAATAATAAAACATCATGGAGCATTTAATTTATACTATGTATAATTTTTTATATCTCTAAATTATGAATATACAAAAATTTGTCAAGAAGGTTGAACAAGGTAAAAATAAAAGTATTTTAGTTATACAGAATATTAATAATAATTAATTTTTGTACTAGAGGATTAATATTATTTATTGTATAGAATGGAATGACCATAACGAGAATATTGTAATTTTGAATAAAAATAACATAAAACTAAAAAAAAAAAAAACACAAATTAACAGTCTCGTTCAGTCTTAGGTAAATGTTTTACATGTCTAAAATGTTATCAAGTTGAAAAAAAAAAAATTATTACAACCTCAAATTGAATAGGAGCAGTGGTATAAAAGTACAAAATGCGTTAACATTATGCTTCATTTGATTATTTGGTTTACAATAATTTTTTCTGATTAATGAGCTTCAATTAGGTAAACAATGGAAATAATTTTTAAAATAAATCAATATTAATTGACAACAAATTTAAGTTCAAATTATAAATGAGCCATTATGACTTAACATTAAATGGCTACTAATGTTTACATTTATGGGATAACTATACTTAAACAAAAATGTAAATACAGATATATTTTAGTTATTTAGCATCACACAAAGCTCAATTTTTATAATAAAATTGGCATAGCTGATTACATTCAATTTTCCTATCTATTTTAATTTTGTTTAGAACACAAAACATATTATGATGAATGTTAAGTGGAATGATTAATGCCAATTGGTTTTTTTTTTTTTTTGTAAATAAAGGAATGATTAGCATAGTATACAGACTGCATGTTTTTTTGATTAAAATTCAATAAGATTACAATCAAACAATAACATTAGTTTAAACAAATTTAAGGTTGTTATTCCAAATGGAATAAGGAGTTAGTAACTTTTTTCAAAACTATGTTTTTTAGTTTTTAATAAATATCTTATTAACACATTTTTACTCTAAAAAAAAAAAATGATAAAAAAATTTTTAATTATTTATAAAATACAATAAAAGAATATGAAATTAATGAACATGTTTCCTACACTTTGACAAAAAAAAAAATATAAATCTCTTTAATTATTTTTGAATTATGAAAGAATATTAAAGCCTATACATTTAAATTTAAAATTAAACATCGTGGACAGGTGAACAATATAAATATTTTACAATACTAAACGTTTGTTACTAGTTATTTATTTACAAAAACATATTATTATTATCTATAACAATATTGTTTACATTATATGAAAAAAAAAAAAGGAAGAATTATGATAGTTACTTAATCTCTTAATAAATCAAGGAACTAGTAAAAAAACAAAAAAAATTGATTGGGAATTTTGGAATGACCTCTGCTGAGCATGTTAAATGGCAGTACTTTTTAAATTCTGCGGGCCAATACATAATTGAAAACGAGTCAGATATCATTGACTAGACTATGATTTGAGATGGACCATTAAACACTTGATAATTTACAATATGACTAGAAACATTATTCTAGTAAAATTAAATGCAATGTAAGTCTTAAAAAAACACTAGCTATTAGAAATAAAAAAGGTTAAAGTAAATTGTCATACATTTTATAAGCATTTTGAAATAAATAATAATAATAAAAAAAAAAAATTTGAAGACTTTCAAATAAAGAATAGGTACTTAAAAAACAAATGCAGTGTGAATAATTTCTTAAGTTTAAAAATTAACATAATATTATAATAAAAAATCAACACAATATCATAATAATAAAAAAAATAACAAAAAGGTGTTTAAAGTTATCAAGATAAATATAAAATGCATCATAACTTACAACTTAAAACTACTTCACAAAAAAACTTTAATTTGTATTGTTTAAAGTCCAATCCTCCTCAAATTTTTTCTCAATAATCTGTACTCGAGTTCAAAATGATTGTGTTAACACTTAAAGGGCCTGACATAATAATAATTAATACTTGCGTACCATTTACAACTCTGTAATCTGATAGGAAGTGTCAGGTACAGGTGTGGGTCTCGCAAATGTTGACAATGAGCTGCCGCTTATTGTTGAAATTTGAGTTTGATCAGCAGAGGTCGGTTCATTTCAGTAGAAATCTGAGGATTCTAGAGTTTTGCATTTACGGCTTAAAGTAGAGTATTGACGATCATTAGACTGATTGGGTTTGCGGTTATACCCTAAGGTATTGGAATAAGTTGGTACACCGCGGAATGAAGGTGGAGGATGTGGTGCACCACGAGCACCCGGGTGTTCAAGTGATCGGAATTTACGGTTTAGAGTAGCATATTGTGTTCCAACTTTTGGTGGACCACCCTCATGCATATAACCGCCATTACGGCCATTCAATGTTGCTATTCCGCTACCCATTCCATATTCATCCCGGGGTCTAAAATTGAACAGATAAAAAGTTAGTACATTTATTCATAGACTACAAATAAATACATAAAATACCCTAGGCATTCAAAATACCTTATATACTAAACAATGACATAGCAAAGCTAACGACATTTATCTTTCATGCCTCAAAATTAATTTACATATAAATAAACTGATAAGTGTTCTTAAACAACTATTTATCTATTTAAGAAAACAACAAATACATGCATTTTCACAAAAATATAAGAACTAACAATGCTAGATTTTGATAACTAATTAAAAGTATTAACAATTAAACACAAACATAATTGTAAACATGATACCAGTAGAAAATTAAGAGATAGTAATAATAACATTAATAGCATAATTTCTGATTAAGTAAAATAGGGATAACCTCATGCATTTTATTATTTTTAATAGTTTAGAATTATTAGTTGAAATAGATACAAAGCAAAATAAATTTAAGTCCCATTTCTAAATTATTGAAGTTAGAAAATTAAAATAATTAGTGATTATAACAAACAAATAATTTTTAAATGTAACTCAAATCAACTTTAATTATAAGATTACACAGTTTAAGGAAACTATACTTAAATTTTCAATTCCACAATTAAAATATATTATACTCTAAATATTGTACGTGTTTTATGTTTGTATGATGTGTGTCAATTGTTTTTTGTTTACAAGTAAAGCTAAGCTACAAAATCAACCAAACGTAAAACTCTATCCCAGCGACATGTCATACAAAAACAAAAATTACTATAAACATACATACGTTATCATGCAATAAAATATTTAATAGAACAAACTGAATATTAATAATTCAAGTATTTAAATTATAAAAAAAGCATCTATAAAATATTATATAAAATTCAACAATCATGCATTAGTTTAATATAGTTAAATATAGCTATTTAGAAAAGTTTGATGTTACCGGTTTTTTTTTTTTTTTTATAAAGAATAAGAAAGAAGTTTCCATAATGTCAAAAATTGTATTGCTGGAAATATTGGAAATTATTAAAATTGATAAATTAAATAGATGAATTAATAAACAAAGCTAGAAAAATAAACTGCTAAAAATTACAGAAGAAATTATGGTTATTGATAAATAGAAAATACACAATAAGATAATTAGAGAAATACTATTATGTGTTCATGTATAAATTTTTGTCATGGAAAAATGTGTAGATTACACTTTGTTCTTTATTTACTGTAGTATCCTACTTTGAAAATAGGAAAATGAAAAAAAAAAACTAATATGAAAATAAGATACCAAAATTATCAAAACAAAAACACAGACAGTCATGCTGGGCGGTTTCGAGCGTGCTGAGCAGGCGTCGGATGCGAAATAAACAACGGGTAGTAGTACGACCCTTGGTTTCGTGTAAGTGTAGACATCTGATGTCCGTGAGATTGTGAACTGCTTGCTGTAGAACCAGGCCGTCCCAAGAATGGATCTCGTTCTTCTGCTTTTGCGTAGTCTTGTCTACAATGATACCAGAAAGTTAACAACAAAACTAATGAAATCCATACACACATTTCAATAATTTCCATCTATAAAAACATACTTCTTTCTAATGTAAATCCAAGTATGTGAATCTAGCCACACCAGTATTGTAAAAAATATTCCAGAGACTATACTGGCTACCAACATCAATGCTAGTCCAAATCTAAAATCATTATTTAAAAATTAATAACATTTCAAGTTGTGAGGTGGAGCATACTTACAAAGCAAGATCACAAGTTGCATGTAAAGCTCGGTTGTACTGTAAGTGTATTTGTCGACATTCAAGTGAAGCAGGTAAAATAGAAACCATTCTAACGGCATTTTCAACATCCATTCTTATTCTTTGTAGTAATAATGGCATATTTTCATTATTATTTGAGGCTGGATATAAATTTGTAGCAAGGCGTGTGAGAATATCTAGTTGATAATTAGTTGCCTCTGCTGAAGTTGTTGCTCTGCGTATAGCCATTTGGAATGGGTTTGTCCGCGTGCTGCCGGTTGGATTATTACTACCTTCACAAGTCGTATAGAACGATAATGTATCAGGTCGCAAAGATGATGGAGTCCAATCGCGTTCCACCCATTCATTGGGATTAACACAAAAGTCTCCCAATGCCTATGTGGTAAAATTATAATAAAAACTCATATAGTATTGGCTATTATTTTCGAAATGTATAAAATTCTTACAACTGTGGCAGTTAAATAAACAGATGCTGTAAGCCAGGAAATAATCACAGCAAACAAACCGAAAACAGAAAACCTGAAATAAAATAATGTAATAATTAATATGTATATATTTTCATGTGCAATATGAATAAATTATAAAACATTTTATTCCAAATACATACATGATTAAAGCACAACGAGAATGTCTAGTAACACCGAACAAAAGTATAACACAGAATACCAATAGAATACTAAGAACTCCCATAGTCACTGGCCATCTACGAATTTAGAGTTTACATTAAAAATGTATTTAATGAGAACTAATTAAATTTTTACTCACCTTACAGTTTCCATTATGTACACCTCATTAATAAATGGAGTTAAGTTAACTCCACGCAAAGAGTTACTAATTTCACGAATATTCGACAAAGTTGAAGCTGCATTTCCAACCAAAGTACTAAGAGCATTAACAATTTGTCCTCGAGCTGTTAAATTAGCAACTGGTGAATCGATTATATCACCAATATTTGTTAATTTGTCATGAATATTTACTTGGAGCAATATTTCAATATCTGATGTCTAAAACATTTTTAAAATGAAAATACAATTATATAAACTCAATATTTCAATTATTGTAATCTTACTTGATTTTTAACACTTATAATTAAATCATCTAAAGCTCTAGATGATGTAAGAAATTGAACAACTCCATTATGTAAATCATCATTACCATATAAACTAACTCCAACAGCACCACTAAAATATTTCATAAAACATTATGTTTAAATGTATAAATATCATAAAAATTACTTTAACTATTACTAAGTACCCACCACGATAAAACAGTAAATATTGCTAATGTCCATTTGAGCACAATTATACTATGTCTTGGTCTAGGTTTCCGATCACAACATCTTGTCATAAGATAAATTAACAATAAAAACATTGTTATTATCAACCAAACAGAAGGAATTGAACCCAGAATGCCAAGTGACTAAAACATAATAAATAAATTAGATATCCACATTCAATTCAGGTAGGTAGGTAATTATGTACAATGTGTTTATTATATTACTTACTTCCAAATAAAGTTCACTCCGTGGTGCAAATGCAGAATTAACATGGTGACCATTAACATTTAAATGTGGGAATGAATGAAATAAATGTGCCAAAGCTGGTGTTTTATAAGTAACAACATTCTCTTGCAACATTCTAGCCATTTTTTCTTCTTTTATTTTAAATGTTGTTCACAAATTTATAAATTATGATTAATTTCTATCTACATTTTAAATCTGTAAAAATAAAATATAAATTAGTTGACCAGCCTAGGTAATTTGTAAAAAATTAATATATTTGAAGGTTAATGTAAATATTCAAGTAGTAGGTAGGTTAGGTACCTACTATTTCAAACACATAATTTATACAAAAATGTTACATTATAGTAGAATGAGATGTTTTTTAATGATACAGGAAATTTCAGGGCAGAATTGGCACAGTATTAACATAACTTATATCCATAAGTATAATTTATGAAACAACAAAACGCAAAACCCTTTTAGTAACCCGCAACACAACTATCAATGTTGATTATGGTCAATTTATAATAAATATATTTTTTTTTGCTGTTGCCAATATGCAAAATAAAGTTTTAAAAATAATTTTATTAATATTATTATCATAATAAGTGGTAAACAATATTGTAATTATAGTACCCAGGTAGTTAAATAAATCACCTAAAATGGAAGCTGGTAATAATTGACAATTAATGATTCGACTCATTAAAATTAAATCTATTTACTGTGTATATAAATACTAAATAGTGTAAATGTTATTTAGACATAGTACCTACGTCCTATCTAAATAAAACACAATAAATATGGTCAAAAGTAATATTAGGTATGTAGACAGACAAATTCACGTTTCTAGAAAATGATATCATTAATCATATTCAGTCAGGTATTCAATATACTTACCTAATAGTTTAAATTATCTATAATTTATTTTTAAAAGGCGAAAAAAAAAATGATTATAATTAGATGTAAGCTAGTTCATATTCTACAAACAAAACAATCATACCTAACCTACCTATTAACCATAATGACAAAATAAAGTTCACACCAACATTTTTTTATATTATAAACACTTAACCGTGTTTATATATATGATAAGAATTGATCAAAAATAATGTTTGACAATTAGTTTTGGATATATATTTGAATATCAACTACCTATAAACATAGTTTTACTAACATTAGTTTATAATTTCTTAAATTGATCACATATTAATCTCCTACTGGTTTAATCAGAAGTTTAATTATACATTGGTATAGAATTATATTAGACAATAACTATTAAATTAATGATTATAAAGGTACTTAATCATTTTTATAGGTGCAAGGTATATCAAAAGATACACCATAGAAATATGTGACATTAAATAGGTAACTACTCACACAAATGAAAAAAAAAATTGATTAGAAATAATCAAGTTACTTATTAATCACTAGTAGGCTTTTATCAAATCAAACAGTAAATAGGTAGGTATTTAATAAATTTGAAACAAAAAAACCACAAAAACCATTAGATTAAATGTTTTATATCTAAATTGGGTAGGAAACTATTTATATCTGAACAAAATAACATTAATGTATGTGGAACGAGGTGAAAGCGAATAAGTAATGTGCATATTATACAAATTCTTGGTTCGTACCTCCCAATTATTTTTACAATACATTATCATTAAGGTCACAATTGGTTTTAATCAGTTCCCAATCAAGTGCTAAGGGAACAAATAATAAGAAACATATTACTTAAAAACTCTCTAAGTGACATAACATTCTAGATAGGTATGTAGGAAAAATGCATTACCTACCTATAAATATTATTGCATTTTACTTTACCTGATACCTACCTACATTTAATTTTGATAGTTATGTAATAATAATAAATTATTGTTACGTCACAGAGGTATGATAAAAATAAGGATAAAGCAACACTTAAATATTTATTCGAATACATGTAAAATTAATGAAGAAAAAAATTGAGTTTCTTAGTTGTTTATACACAGATTATTCAAATGAGAATTGACTATCTGCCGATTTAACAATATGATTAAAGTAAATTGCACTAGATATTCTACTTAAAATATACTAAATACACACAAAACTTATTTTATAGTGTTCAAATTTTACCTGAAAGTTTATGTTCAAACTCGGTTTAGGATTAAAACATTTTTTAAATTTTTTATTTCAAGTATTGAGATAGGTACAAATACTTTAATATGATTTTTACAATTGTGTAGTTATCTTAATGATAATGATAATCTGCTTTAAAAAAAAAAAAAATATATTTTTGAAATTAAATGTTTTAATTCTTAGATTAGAAAGTGCATGTCATTTATGAGATACTAGTATCTCAAGCAATAATAATCTCAGCATATTTTAAATTTAATGTTATTGATTTGAATTTGAATAGGTTACCAACATTATTGTGTTTTAAACTAAATTGTACCTATATAGGTAAACTGTGCATGTAACATTATTTTAAATATTTGGGAAGCCCATCAATCAAATGTCATTGCATCGCTAATTATTATTTTCAGTAAAGAACAGACATAAATACACAAACTATTAATATTATATTATGCAGTTAAAAATACCATATAGTTTTATTATTGCGTTTTGTTCAGCACTTACCAATATAAATGAAAAAAATAATACATTTCTAATGAAAATATTAATTTCATTAACCGTGCTAATAAATTATAGATCACAGAAATAGGTGCGTACAACAATAATCATAAACAATTCAGGTAGGTACCTAAGAACTCTTTACAATTAGAACATTAATGATAGGTACTTCAGATTATATATGACAAATAATTGTTCATATTAACACTGATAATATGTAAACACAGAGATATGTGCGGTGAAGTGACATAATATTAGATACCTTTGCCATTATTAGATAATTTGTGGCAGGTGTATAATATTTGAATAACTACTTAATCACATATAACAATATATAACAATGTTATAAAAACAAGACGAAACAAAGAAAATACTCAATGCCTACTGCGTGAATGCTACAAAACTAACCCAATAATTCAACATTTAATCTCAATAATTCAACATTTAATCTCAATAATTCCAAGATAAATTCCGACTTAAAGAATTTTTATAGTTATGGCTGTAATAGTGCGTCACACAGAAGACGTGCATACGCACAAGATTCGGATACATCGTACTGAGTATGTCCGAATTGTGTGGGCCTTTCCGACGCGCCTTGAAGAAAGGCTTTTTTCGAACTTTATGGAAAGGAAACGGACCCAACCGCCGTTTTCGTTCCAACGAGACTTCAAAATCGATGGCGGTCTGAGGTGTGGTCTAAGTAGCAGTAAAAATCAAAGCCGACTTACCCATCGTCGTCGGATTACTCGGTGATGCAGTCTCTCGTGCTGCGGACTATTGTGCGTAAACGTATCTTCTGGCAGACGTAGGTACCCGGCGACGGCGCTGTTGTTGTCGCCTGGACAGGGCAATAGTAATACTGATAATAAATACTATTGCGTTATGTACCTAATATTATTGGTATTCAATATCGGCGCCGTCGTCATCGGAACACGGGCGAGCGTCGTGTCCGGTGTCGTCGACGACGACGTTCGGTTGAAAATAAGAATACGCAATATCAGTATCTATCCTACGCACGGCGGGAGACACGAAAACACACGCGCGACGGCGGCAACGGTGGATTTATCGATCCGTTATCCGAACACACGAGAACGGAGTAGACGACACCGGTCTATACTGGTAGAGTTGGCACGGTCGTTAATTATTGCTACGGAAATAATACGATAAAAAAAACGCTAATCGAAAAAAAAAACTAAAATTTTAAAGTGACGGTGGCGGCGGAGTCGAAACGGACAAATCTGTGCGCGTAACCGGTCGGTGGTGGCTGTATGACGCGCTACGAGCGGACGTTGCCGGAAATGTCAATTGTCGCGGCGGCGGCGTGTGACGCCATTTTAGAAAATCGTTACAGGCTCGGGGCGCTGCTGCTGCTAGTCCTGTCGGTGAGCCGTCTGGTGCGTGCCGCTCGCTGGCCGGTCGAACGAGCCGCCCGTCCGTGTGCCGCCTCCGGTGCTGCACCGCGGCCGCCGGCCGCGCGCCCGTCGCGCTCCGACGGCCGCGGACCGCGTTTCAGTCCGGTTATTGTTATTTCGCAGGGTCTACGCCCGTCCGCGGCGGCGGTCGCCTCGCGCACGCGTCACGTGCACGAGGTCCCTCGCGGGTTTCGGAATTGGTTTTTTTTTCTCTCTCTGCCTCTCTCTGTCTCTCTGTCTTTCTCTCTCTCTCTGCCGGTCCTCGGTAGTCTGTACTCTCCTCGGCGGCGCACATGTCCGCCGCCTACGCCTCCGGGTTTCGGTGAAATATTTAAAACATATTTTAACCCAAACTCGCGCGTTGTTCCATATTGTATAATATTCACCGCGATCCGGGACCGGTTTCTGTTGGCGATTTTACGACCGTTTTATTATCATTATGCCTATGTATATACAATAACGTCATTTTTTTTTTTCTTTCCTTCCCGATGCGAGTCACGACGACGACGTGACCGGCCCATTGTTCGGAGGACGATCCCCTGTGTCATGCTCAGCTGTACGGTTCAATGTTTGTGTAGTGAATTCTAACGAATTCACGTGCCTTTTTTGTGCGGTCTCTCGTTCTCTATTTCGGTCGTCGTCGCCGTCGTCCGCTACGGGGAAACGTTAATAAACTACCGTGCCTGCTGTACCCGCTCGCGCTACACCCAGATGACTAATAATTGCAATGTTTTATTCACCGTGTTCGCCTAACCGTCCCAACCCTAGTACACACTGTTATGGCGTGTTGTTATTATAACATTCCGTACAAAACTGTACGATATTGTACATTATTATGATTTCACCGGTCCAGCTTGCCGGCGGCGTAGTTAAATTGCATAATTTAGAACAAAAAACCGTGGCGTTTAGGCCGCAGTCGGAGTAGGCAGGTACATAAAACACAAAAAGCCGACACACCTTACGTCAATGTTGTATGCGAGAAGTTGGCAAGGTCGGCTACGTAAGACAATTTTTTCCCCATTATAACTGAGAATAATCGAAAAAAATGACTTTTGCCGATGCGCCAATTGTAGACAAAATTTGCTACCAGAAAACACCCGGAGTTGATGATTTTTATTATAATTTTCTATTCGAAAAGAAAAGAAACCGCATATCATACACGAAAAATGATTAATCAATAGTAAAACCAATACGGTATATCTATTCATTACGCTGAGAATCTAAAATTGAAAGAGGACAATATACACGATAATACATATTTAGTAAATTTGAGATAAAATTTAGGACTTCTGGGGGATCTTTCGAATTACTTGCTGGCCGTGATCACCCGTGTTTATCGCTTGATGCGTTTATAGTTAACGGGAACCTTAACGTTAACCTTTAATGTTTTTTCATGCGTCTTAATTTTTAATGTGTCATTGTTAATGTTAAATCTATTGATGTTGCCTTTGAACCATCCTTGGGCACCCACCATTAATCTATGTATGTATGTATGTGATTATATGAACATAATAAAATCAATCAAATTATCGATGGCAACCGTTTTTGGTATTTTCTGAAATTATTGCATAAAAAATTAAAAAAGTGTAAACACTTATTGGACCGTAACTCATTTGTTTTAGAGAATATTTTCGAAAAAAAGCCGCGCGATGCCCTCGAAAATATTCTCTTCTTTAAGCCTGAACACCACGATTTTAGTTTTTTAAGTTGCGTAATTTTAAGTGATTGCCCCTTAGTTAGGTTTAGACGGTAAATGTGAGTGGTAATCACCTGTTAAGTATTTTTTTTTAGAAATTTGTATACGCGACCCTCGTTGTACGGACAACAAAGAATATTGTTTTCCGTCAAAAATTATAACAATTACGGATACCCATCGATCGATTCCTTTAATTTAATTAATAATGAAATATTATGGTATCTAAAAGGAGTATAGTAATCGCTATTTCCCGCGACACTGTGCAATTCGTCGATAATTTAAAATGGCCATTAATTATTAATACGCCGACAACGTTACTCAGTGGCGGTGCAAAGGTGGGTCCTCCTGGCCCTCTTAAGATTACCTTAGCCTTATTGTGGGCCTTATTATTGGTTTACTACGTGTGCGAATTTATTTTTCTGTCTGTATTTCTGTAAACAACTTTTTTTTATCAAAAATCTTGCTACAATTCAAATATTACATGTGATCATTTTCATTAAAAAAACAAGCTGTCCCGCCCGGCTTTGCCCGAGTAATAAAACAAATTTCTAAATAATATTAATAGATAAATTATCATGCCATCTTAAAAAAAAAATCATTTTTTAGAATGTCTACCTATTTTATATTCTATACAATCGTGGTTATTTAGTAGATAATCGGGTCTAAAATCAATGGTAAAACTAATAACATTGATTTTACAATATACAATTTATTATAAAATCAATGCTAATAACTTCATTCTAATGATTTTTGTATACTTTAATGTTAATATCTATACTAATATTATAAAGAGAAAGGATTTGTATGTTTGTATCGAATAAACTCAAAAATTCCTGGACCGATTTCAAAAATTCTTTCACCATTAAAATGCTACATTATCCCTGAGTAACGTAGGCTATATTAATTACTATAAACAAATAGGTATCCCAACGAAAATTGCAATAATTAGGTTTTAAGTTATTTTTGCTAATTGTTTATTTATTTATTTGTTGTTTATTCGTGGGTTACCTTGGTGATAATTTGATTGCCATGGACAAGAAAAACATTATTGTTATTATTATTACTATTATTTACACTATTATCTAGCAATAGCAAAACACACAAAACTATGCGCTGTAGTGGGCGGGTAAATGAAAAGCGAAAACACGTAAAATTTCGCCTTTGAATCTTTGTATTTTTCGGTACATAAATAATACTAGAGTATACTATTATGTCATCATAATTTTAGCGTTATGTGGATATAATATAATTTAATAACGTGTAATAATGCGCTGTGCGATTATCTATGGTTACACGGATGAAAAAAAGTATGACACATTAGAACACTTTTAGTCCATCGGACAACCCAACCTATTTTCTTTCGTTTGATATACTGAAACGGGCAAAGCACTACGGGAATAAAGGTAAAAATAATAAATAATTTGCACGGGAAACGCCGGGCGCAGGACAGCTAGTTAAGTATAAATTAAAAATAATACAATTATTAATGTTTAAATTTTTACCGTTAAAATATAGTAGTCTACAAAACATAAATATGTATAATATATAACTAACAACTATATACTGATGTGTGAAGCGGATGCTGTAGAAAAGCTATGTTCCGTATAGTAATATATCCTTATTTAAAATATAAATATGTTTAAATGGAAAAAAAAAATTAGAGTTAATAAATTGTAGACTGATTTTTAGTTACTTCAGATATATTTTGGGTAAGGTAGATCATACATTAGGTACCGCACGATTTTTGACTGTTTTAATTAGCTTCAAATGCTATTCTGTATGTAGGTAAACAGATATTTGTAGGATAATTACATTAAATAGTTAAAAGCAAATCAAACTATAATATTTAGTTAATTTAACTACAAACAAATAGTTCGACGTACAAATCCGCCATCGAATTCTGGTTAAAATAATTTTTCGTAGCATAGGATACATGCTATATAGATAAGTAGAGGTAATGAACTGATGATTAAACTTTGTATGATAGCAAAATATTAAAATGAATTATAAAGTACTTATATTGAAAGATGTCCTCTTTATAACTCTATTAAGGACCATCTGTATTTAATTTGTAATCTGTCAAAATGTGATTATTTTATGAACCAACAGGATAGACATAAAATTGATTACCCTTTCCTATTTCTCCAATCTAAACTTTAATAACTCATAAACAGTAAATCTAATATTATTGTGTTTTAATGTTATGCATATTAAAATGTCTAGACAAATAATCTTAATTTTAATCTGTAAATGAAAAATGACGTTGCTGTAAAAAATCCGATCTGGATACTCATTCGAGATAGGTATAATTAAGGAGTAGGGATAAAAATCGAAAATAGTATTAACATAAAGCTTGAACGATTACTTAATGATTAAGAAAAAATAGAAATAAAATCCATTTAAAATCCTCCCTGAAAATTGCTGGTTCATGATGTTTTTTTCTATGCACATTTTTAAAATATTTTACAATTCAAAGAAAAACTAGAAAAAACAATTGTATAGGATCCAAGTTATATATTATACATATATATAATAAATAAGGTGTATACAACTATATATTGAACGAGTATTATTTGTTCAATGCGTATTATACAGTTTTTTCAGTATACGAAATATACTTTTATTATATGTTTTTCAATGTTCTCAAAACAACGAGTTGCAGTGATATGAATTGTGTAACCGAAAAAAACAAAGGCCTACGGTCTCGGTATTGTCCTCAGGGTACAATATCACGATAAAAAGGATTTAAAACACACAAAATAGATTTTAAAACCAGACGATACTCATCTATTCTTCAAATTATGCTGAGTATGACGTGTGTCCAGCTGCGTTTTAAAGTAAGTCCTTCCACGTAAATAATAATTCTTCGTATAAATAACATTGTTAATTCATAATGAGTTACCAACTATAAAACGTCTATACTAGTAGACGTGGTTTTGTGATTCTAATCATATTATATAAGTATAGGGTAAAGTATTGATTGAATGAAAAAATGTAGTTATTACATTATTAAATTCCGAGAAGAACATATATTAAATTACTTATATTATACTCATTGTCTTATTGATTGTATATATTAACGATTTGATTTTTTTCTTTAGACACTCAAAACCGTATGAAAACAGTAAAAACTGCTCATAGATATACGAGTAGTTCCATAAACATTCAGTTAATATGATATATTATGCGAACACAGTTGGTACACTTTTAAGTAGTCGTTTATCAAATTAATTCGTATCTAATACCTAATACGGTTCTCAAAAATTATAAATGT